GGTTCAAGGTTTATATAGGGTTGTTTACGTTTTATAAATATAGGGTTTAGGGTTTAGGGCTTAGGGAGGTTTAGGGGTTCAAGGTTTATATAGGGTTGTTTAGGGTTTATAATTATAGGGTTTAGGGCTTAGGGAGGTTTAGGGGTTCAGGGTTTATATAGGGTTGTTTAGGGTTTATAATTATAGGGTTTAGGGTTTAGGGCTTAGGGAGGTTTAGGGGTTCAGGGTTTAGGGATTTCGGATTCAGGGTTTAGGGTAGGGCTCAGGGTTGAGGGTTTAGGGGTTTAGGGATTTCCGCAATCCGTTCCGATGGCACGATCAACTGGGGTTTCCCTGGAGATTATATAACCCTAAGGGTCCATGTACTCATATAGTATATACATTGGCCTTAAAGTACTCCCTATATAGGTACATTGGACCCAAAGTATATGCTATGTGGGTACATGGACCCTTAGGGTAAGCTTGTGCTTTCCGTCTTCGGGTTTCCGTAGGGCTTAGCGCTTGCTTGGGGCTTGAGGATATCAGAGGTGAGGGCCTTGGCCGGTTTAGGGTTTAGGGTTTAGGGCAATGGCTGAAATAGCTGTTTTGGATTCAGCTTGAAGGTCTTTGCAGAGGTGTTTAAGGTTGACGGATGTTTAGAGTTTAGGGGCACGAAAAGCGTTCTGCACGGGTGCAACGCTCTAGTTTATGGGTCCACTATCTACAACTTCAGAAAATGGTTAAGGGGCGTTGGCAATCTTTGAGGGTAACGCAGGATTTACAGCATCAACCGCAGTATATTGTTTGGCCTGGAAGTATATAGTCTATCTACTGCCTAGGTACATGTTACATGGGCCCTTCAGGAAACCGGGAGGTTCCGTTTATGAGCCTATACCCTAAACCCCAAATCCCTAAACCCTAAACCCCCAAATCCCTAAACCCTACGCCCTAAACCTCAAAACCCTACACCCTAAACCCCAAATCTCTAAACCCTAAACCCCTAATCCCTAGACCCTAAGAGGGCTCTACCCAAGGCTAAACCGGCAGTCCGTGACCTGGGACCCACGTTCTCCCTTCGGTGCTTATGAACTTGAGAACGAGCTGTTTAGCTGTCACGAATTAATGATTTTGAGATTTATATTCAAGAGTCATGGAGTTGGAGGGGTTTAGGGTCGATTTGGGGGCTTCAGAATTTGTCAGGGTTACTGTTGTCACCCGAAACTCTAAACGCCAGGAGCCCAGCCAATACCAAATGCAAGACTCGACCAAGGTGGCATCCAATGCGGCAATGTGCTCGGCAGGAACAGTTGGAGCGTCGTTTTCCTTGTCGTCGTCAAACCTTGCTGGACAGGCTTCAAAAGCAGTGGAATTGCATGCCTCATCCACAAAAAAAACTAGGATTCAATGACTTTCATGAAGGGAGGCTTACCTACGGTTGATGATATAACTCCTGCATTACCTTAATGACCCTAAACTATGGGAATTATGGTAGATTCCTTACTATGGGTCATGCAGGGCAGGATTCATATCATCAACTGGAGTAGCTGCTTTATTGACTGTATCTGGACTCTCCACCTTGGTACCTTGTGTCGTCGCAGGGTATTCCGGGGTATTCGTCGAGGGTATGAGGCCCTGTTACGGTTCGCTTTTAGCTTGGAGGTTTGGGAGTTTCTGAAAATAGGGGACCCTAATTTAGTACCCTAACTAGTAGGATCCTCACTACATGGACCCCAAAATATGGTACCCCTAATTTTCGGAAACTCCCATTTGTCAGGAGGATCGCAGTATGGCCGCTTTGCTGGGCTCTTGCCCAACTAGTCGCGAGTCTGAACCCTAAGGGTCCAAGTACCAAGTTATCATATACTCTACTGAATAGTAACCTACATAATAACTACCATCCTAAAACCGAGTACCTATTATTGGATCCTTTGGACCCTTAGGGGAATAATTAAGGCTGCGGTAGAGGGTCCAGTGGGCTTAGAAGTTCGGATTTAGGATGTAGGATTCGGAATTCAGGGCTAAGCACATGATATTGCACGCTCATGTACTACAAGCTGCACGCATGCCTTTTTGACAAGCTCCCTGCACGAATGCGTTCAGCTGTCAAGCCATGCCTCTTCAATGTATTGCACATATTGCACGGGGCGGGAACGACGCGGAATGTTGTGCTCTTGGGGGTCAGAGACCCCGAACCGTTGGTCCTAAAACCCTGCACCCCGTAAGGCAAAGAGGCAGAAATTGGGCTTTGAAAGGCTCCAGCGGATCTTCTTCTGTGATCGACTCCTTCATAGTCGAGTCATGCAGGCTAGCTCGCATGCTCCCCGAACATGATACACACTGAACTGGAGAACCCCAGTGCGAAGGAGACCAAAAGAGTGTGTCTCTCGCTCGACCATGGGCAAAGATCCTGCGGTCCCCTGTACAGAAAGCCCACAGTTGCATGAGTGAGGTCCACTGCAATGCAAGCACGCATAAAAAAAGAACATCGTTGCCCAAGAAAGCTTGCGATCCTTAACCACTACCATTAACACTCCAAATGCAATGCTGCTCTTTGCTTTGACTGTTTCCGAGGTGGCTACCGACTTCATCTGCACCGCTGCGCTCATGTTGCTCATTGGTTGGAGGCGCTATTCCTTATCGCCGCTATCTCGCTCGTTCATGCTACATGCTGTCAGAAAGCATCGAAAATTTCTGTCTCGATCGAGCTCAGACAGAGCTTCATATCATGTCATAAACAGACATAAGCGAGCTCCGACGGCTCGATTACTGCCGCAACTGTAGCATTGTACAGGCAAGAGCAGTCGCTCATCTGTTAACTTGTCTGTACCAACCTGTGGCATGATTTGCAGAAGTACATCCATAAGGGTCCACGTACTCAAATAGTACATAATCACGCTTTGAAGCCAAAGTGTGTGGTATGTACGCATGTACGTACTGTGCATGCTACATGGACCCTTAACCCTAAGGGTCCATGTACTCATGTGTGTATACATTGGCATTAAAATTGTCCCTAAAACGGTAACTTTAGGGCCAAAGTATATGCTATATAGGTACATGGACCCTTAGGGTAAGGGTCTTACCCGAACTTCATGAATATGAACGACAAGTGGAAACCGTCGGGGCAAATGAGGTGCACGAGCTGTGTGTGAACTTTGGCCTGCCTGACCATGACTTAGTTGCTGAGTTCATAAGCCAACCCAAAAGTGTACACTTTCAGTTTTATAGCGGGTAACATGACCCCAAAAAGGGTAAAGAGTATCCACTCAGCTACTAAGACGATAACATGGTTTGCGGCTTCGGGTTTAGGGATAACATGATAGCAAGACCGATCATCATGGTCATCTCCTTACAGGTAATAGCAAAACTAGCAACAACGCATCAGGCGTGACACTGCAGTGGACGTCAAGCTGGCTCAAAATCGTGACTGAACCCGAGGCACGAACCCGGACAAGCAAACTCGATGCCAAACACTTCAAGCGCTTTTGCATCCTTATACTACTACTACTACTACTACTACTACTACTACTACTACTACTACTACTACTACTACTACTACTACTACTACTACTACTACTACTACTACTGCTACTGCTACTGCTACTACTACTACTACTACTTACTACTACTACTACTAATTACTACTACTACTACTACTACTACTACTACTACTACTACTACTACTACTACTACTACTACTACTACTACTACTACTACTACTACTACTACTACCACTACCACTACTACTACTACTACTACTACTACTACTACTACTACTACTACTACTACTACTACTACTACTACTAAAGAAATCATGAAAGGAGTCCAAGCCGGCGAATTCGACTTTCGGACCGTGAAGGTTTAGGGTTTAGGGTTTAGGGTTTAAGGTTTAAGGGTTTCGGGTTTAAGGTTTAAGGGTTTCGGGTTTAGGGTTTAGGGTTTAGGGTTTAGGGTTTAAGGTTTAAGGGTTTAGGGTTTAGGGTTTAAGGTTTAGGGTTTAGGGTTTAAGGGTTCAGGGCTTAGGGTTTAGGGTCCTTCGAAGGGAGCACATGGGTATGCCTCGAGGACTGCACGAACAGCCGATCGCGACACCATCAACAGCCTCGCGACTTGGCAAAAAGGCCAACCCTCAAACACTGTCGACACCATAACCGAGGATATTGAGCAGAACACTTTCGAACCTCGAAAGACTTTTGACTGTTGCCTGGCTCTTGCTGCCGGGCGAAGCTGTTGACTGTGGCCACAAACCTATACGGATGGTGAGGCTTGCAGGATTGACAACAACTTCACCTTACGTACAAGCAAGCAGTACAAGATTTTCCGACACATACTAGATATGCGTCATTCGGTCAATGTGCACAAGGCTCTCGAGGCCGCGTTACATACTATACAGCATGAGGCATCCGAGTCGTACGCTAGAGGTCCATGTGCCTACGAGTAAATGGTATATGCATACTTTGGCCACAAGGTACCTATCTTAGCTACTTTGGGCCAAAGTAATTTTATACATTTTGGGGAATTACATGGACCCTCTGGGTTAGGCAGCCAAGCAGTTCCGATCCTGACGGTCGAGCCCTTTCCCTGTGCAGTTTTAGCGCAACCCTTGCGCAGGAAACCGCAAACCCGAACGCAAACAACCTGGTGATAATCCAGTGAAGACATGTCATACCCTAAACCTTATACCCCCCAAACCCTCAAAGTAGTTTGGCACCCACTTCAGGTTGACGTACAAGCACATCAAAGCTCAAAACCATGAGCTCCCTAGCTAGATAGGTCTTAAACCCAAGCTTAACCCTAGAACCTAAATCCTAAACCCAGTTTTGTAATACCTGCACGATCTGTGAAGCCTCACTTAGTTTCTGGGGGTTCCAGACTGGCGTACGTTGACAGGTCTGATACGTCTGATACGTTCTGTCCACCTCGTTCGAGAGCTGCCGCCATCTTGAAGCCCTATTTGTCGGGTATCATGGGGAACTAAAGGTTAACCTTTTTTGGTTGTATAGGGAGTATATATCGGGACTATACTACCCAAAAAAGGTTAAAGGTCACCTACTCTACTACAAGGAAACACAACCTCTCAGATCGTGTCTCTCCCAGACCCCCGGGAGGATCCAACAAGTAGATCCTTTAATGGGGGTTCCTATAAAGTACCGTTAGTTGTGTAGCGCCCCAAATCAGGGGCTCTACTTTCTGGATCCTCCCCGGGGGTCTGGGTAAGGATTACCCACCTTATAGGCAGCAGATCTCTGAGCCGAGGCCGATATCGCAAAGGAAAACTGACGAAATGAAATCCGTCAGATGCCTCAGAAAAGCTGCCACAGCCAGGGAGGGCTCGACATTTTGCTAACTTCGGCTTGAGGTGAACTTTCCCACTAAGTTCACAACCCTGTAAACCCTCAAGCTGAGCTCTGAACCAAAAACCTTCAAGCTGAGCTCTAAACCAAATGAGCTCTGCCAAATGGCTTCGCCCCTCAGAGACATCTCGCAACACAAATGCTTGGACGCAGGCTGTTGAGCAAACCCCCAATACAAATAACAGCAAAACAAATGCCCATTGTAACATGTCACGAAGCACCGGAATCCTAATCTCCCTAAAAACTCTAGGTTCTACACCCTGAACCGCGGCTCATGTGTAATAGCATCGGAATCCTAATCTCCCTAAAAACTCTGGATTCTACACCCCAAACCGTGGCTCATGTGTAATCGTCCCAGTGCAGCCATCAACTTCGACTCTCCCCCGCCCGAATCCCCCAAAAGTATAGTTTAGGTTCAAGGGTATAGGGTCTAGTCTTTCGGGTATCCTCATGTCATGAAGGTAAAGTAAGGGGGATGCAAGCTATATATATATATATATATATATGTATACACACATGTGTATATATAATCACGCGAGAATGTACCCGCCCAGGCAACATTTTGACGTATCCAGATCCTATATTCGAGATTATCAGACACTTGAGAGACCTGAACATGCTGGAAAACCCAACACCACCGCATTCTGACTATGATAATCAAAGCCGTCATGTTAGGCCGCTGGGCTCCCAAAACCCCATGATTTCTAGAACCCTTGCACTTAAAGGATCATGCGACTTAGTAACTCAGGTTATGATCAGGGTAACTATACTTATAATCACTTATAACCCCAATTGAGGTACTTATAACCTTACTTACTAAGTCCCATGATCCTCCAAGTAATGCCCGACCTTTGAGAGCTCCAGCTTTAAGCCATGTAGCATACTGTGCTAGGCCAGGGTTTACAGCAACCGTAGTAGAACCCTTCAGTAACCCCAGCAGACAACAGCAACCACTAAACACGAAGTCCATACAACCTCGTAACTATAGACTATAACCATCAATACAGGTTAGAACAGGACTCTGGGGGGTAGTTTATGCCACAATTGTTGTCATAGAGACTTGTTTGGAAACTATGCCGACACCTATACTATGCTCAACAACCTGAAATTAAATCTCAGCGGCTCGTCAGACCGCAGTTCGTAGCAACAGACGAAGATGCGCGCAGGAGGCCACTCTCAAAGAGCCCAAGCTTACGGTGTGTCTTTGAAAGTCTTTACAGGATTTTAAAGTGTTACCATGGGGTTTTATGGAGTCGCATATGATGTATTCGGGGTTCATAGTACAGGAATCCGGTAAGGGTACTTGTAAAGGTTGCTGTATGGGCTATGTTCAGGATTCCTTTAATTTAAGGGTTCTGGGAAGCAAGGACTTTATCTCGTTCATGATTTAGGGCTTGGAGTTTACTTCCATTTGAATGGCCTTACTTAGGCGATGCCCCTGAAAAGATGCTAGGAAGCATGTTGCACATCAAGGTGCACTCAGCAGACACGGAATACATCGAAATTCTCTGGAGCGACTATCTTACTTTCCCAATACTCAAGTTACAAATACGGAATGCACATGAAGTCAGATGAACTGGACCGAATCTTGCTTCCACAATGTGTAGGGAGTTTCACGGGGGACCCTTCTTTCTTACACTCGCTGTTGTCTCCATTGTAGCTGCTGTTTTCGGCTAACCAAGTCTTACGGAAAGAATCCCTAAACCCTAAACTCTAATGTGAGATTGGCTAACCAAATGATGGGGCTACAATGGAGACACAAGGTACTTCGCAACAAGTGCAAGAGTGGCAAAGAAGTGCTTTGGAGAACAAAAGCTAGACCCAACAGTAACCTAGGAATAAAAAGCTTGCCCTTTTTGGTTTAAAGGGGCTTGTAAGGGAACTTGAACCTAAAACAGGGAATAAGGGTCTACTCTAGGTCCTAGTTGACCTCGGTCAAGGGATTGCTGGGCTCCCTGGGCAGGCCTGAAAGTCCCGGAAAGGTCGGCAATTGGATTACGTTTACTGTAGGGTTTAGGGTTTAGGGCCTAAGCTCCAAAAACCTAACCCCAAATCCGAGAAGGACAGCAGGATTGACATGTGAAATGCCGCCTTGCCCCCATACCCTAAACCCTAAACCCTAAACCCCAAACCCTAAACCCTAAACCCTAAACCCCAAACCCTAAACCCTAAACCCTAAACCCCAAACCCTAAACCGTAAATCCTAAACCCTAAACCCTAAACCCCAAACCCTAAACCCTAAACCCTAAATAACGATTTCGGAGGTCGTGCGACAGGATGCTGAAGGGCTTTCATGACGTAATCTTCATGTGGGATTCTGAAAGTCACTGAATTCCTACGAGAGGTATCCTACCGTAAACCATATCGAGTTGGGCTGGGAGGTTACCTGTTATCTTCTCGAACTTCCCTGGAGCAACCTGGCTACATAGATCTGCTGGACAGGGTACTTTTCAGCCTACCTGAACATATGCTATGTATGGGTTCGCTGGTCGCGCATTCCGCTCGGGGCTTTAACAAGATGGCATGAGAATACCTGCACAAACTTTTGGAGTCAAGGTTTTTGCCTTTCACTTCAGGGTTTGGGAAACAGTTTCAGGGAGCAGCACAACGCCATGGCACGGCACATCTTAACACCACAGCAGCACTTGGTCTTCCCCTAAGCCCGGATACCCAACTATTCGGTCCCTAAGGGTCCAATGTACCTACATAGTAGAATGTAGGGTTCCTATGCTAGGAATTGGTATTAGTCTTATGATTTGCGGAAGTATTCCCCATATCAGTACCTAGGACCCTCTGAGGGTGCTTGGAGAGTTACAGTTCATCGGATCTAGGTGCATTTGGCTTGCGCCAACAGGAAGCCTTCCGGAGACGTCGGGGATGTATTCTGCTTCGGCACTGGCCCTAAGAAAATAGCCCAGAACAAAATAACACCTGTACATGCATATGTACTCGTGCCTACGTGTGCGTGCATGCATGCGTATATCATTGCATGCATCTACATATGCAGGCATGTACCCGCTTGCCCACCTACCCACCGACCTACATAATAAACATGCATGCATTCGCACATACAATGCAATAAAACGAGTGCACAAACACATATACACACTTACAGCTCACATACATACATGCATCCATACGTACATGTGAGTAAACACACAGACGCATGTATATACCGACATCCATGCCAGCATACATACGAAAAAACTCCTGCACTCACACATTCATACATAAGCAACTACATGCATTGATGCACTCATGCATGTAGTCTAGTTGCGTGTTGTTTTACAAAGGTCTTGGCGGAGGCATGTGCCTGGATGTGTAATTATATGTATGTGTGTGTGTGTGTGTATGTGTGTATGCAGTGTCTGCAAGAAGGAATGGTATCTACACTCATCGGCACATAGGCTTAACGCGAAAACAGGCCTACACTATGACACAGACAAGCATATGCTATGTTAGGCATGACACATTACATGCAAAGCTTTACACAGGCGGCCTCACAACATATGCAGGAATCTATCTGTTCATCTATCAATCTACCCACCTGTCTTTCACCTATCAAAATACCGATATATATGTCTACATGCCTGTCTATTCATCTAGCTGTTGATCCTGTCTATCCTTGGTTCTCTTGTATCCATCCATGGGCATGTGTATAGCCTAACTATATGTATACCGCAAACGAGTCCTTATTTGGCTAGTAAGCGGCTAGTATCCTGTGGGGAGCTAAAGGTTAACCCTCAGAACAATAATAGTGAACAATAATGGGGTTAGAGTACCGCAAGAAAAGGCTGAAGGTTACCGACCCGAGTAATAACTCAAAATGAGATGTAATAGGCCAGATCGAAGCAACAAGTATACGGCGGGGAGAGTCAGCTCCCCGCCAGGCGAATTTGCGAGCTTTAGAAAGGGACCATGCCCCGCGTCCTGCAGGGGCGATCAGGGCCTTCCCTGCCTGGGGCTCCGAATAGCCCAGAGTAGGTACTATTTGTAGACTTTACACCCCAAAGTAGGTAGTGCTTCAAAGCTTGGAGTCCCAGGGTTAGGGTTTAGGGCCTATATACACGGTTACGTGGGTGTCACACCATGGAACAGCCGGGCGGGTGGCTCCACTTGGCCAGCTGGAAGAAGGCGAAGCAGAAAAAGAGGATCAAAGCTGAGGGTACTGCAGCCAGTTCCACGATGCCCGGCACTCGAATGTCTTGGCATGTTGCAGAATTTCTCGAAGGTCTCTCCGACTGAGTCGACTGAGAGTTTGGTGTCGAAGAAATCGCTGCGGAGCGACCGTCACTGATGTGACGGTTTTCACTCTTGGTTTTTGCCTGCTGGTTCCCTTGTTGAATATCTGCACTGATCCACCAGTCCCATTCCAACAGTTCATTGGTCCCCAGCGGCATCTTTGTCGGGAGATGCGCCGCATCTGACCGCCCAGAGACATCCCGGCGGGTAGGCGGCATCTGCACTCTATCCGATCAAACGAGGCCCCCGAATAATCCGAGACGATCACAAAGCAACCGAAGCTTGAGCCGAGGTCACTGTAGACAGAAAAAAAGCATGTGCAGGCTCCTATAAGTTCGTAGCAAGCCAGCCGCTATACGTGCAGAAAATTCCATGTAGCTGCATGGACTTCTGGCTGCAGGTTCGGGCATCATGAGTTAGAGGTAAGTTCCATACCCTAACCCTGCCGTCCATGCCGACTTGGAAGCCTTTTGAAGAGCTTGAACACTCAAAGACACCAAAGCAACTGGTGACCTGGTCCCTAACCCTAAGGGTCCAAGTGCCTAATAACCATATACTCTCCCAAATAGTAACAAACATAGCTACTACCCGTAACCAGAGTACCGTATTCCCAGACCCCCGGGAGGATCCAAAAGGTAGATCCCTTAATGGGGGTTCCTATAAAGTACCCTTAGTAGTATAGGGCCCCCCAAATTTAGGGGATCTACTTTCTAGATCCTCCCGGGGGTCTGGGTTACTGGGTCCTTTGGACCCTTATGGGTAACATGTAAAGTTTCGGGTCCAGGTTGAGGGCCAAGGATGGTGTGGGTCTTTCCCCCAAGGGTCCAACGGTGGATGATACAAATCCTGCATTACCCATAATAAGGAATATACCATAATTCCCATAGTTTAGGGTCCTTAAGGTAATGCAGGATTTATATCATCCAACGAAGTACCCTAATTATCATAGACTCACCAAGCTAGTAGCCTACATAACTACTATCCTAAGCCCAAATACCCAATTATAGGATCCTTTGGACCCTTGGGGTTCGGGGTGGGGGCTAACATCATCGCCTTAATAATTCGACTAGGGTTTTGGCGCCCGTGACACTGTAGTTATATAGTTATAGTAAGGCCCATTACACTATACCACTATATATATATATATTTATTTATTTATTTATTTATTTATTTATTTATATAATAAAGACCCCCCCCCCGCAATAGTATAGGCAATTATTCAGGCAGCTCGAGTAGGGGTTTTGTGGCTTATGGTTTGGGGTCAGGGTCCGGTCGAGGGTTTAGGGGTGTATAGGGGTTTAGGGTTTAGGTAGGTAGGCCTAAGCCCCCTTACCGTAAGGGCCTATACACCCTAAACCCTAAACCCCTAACCATCACCGCAGCCGAGGAGCCCGGTGAACTCCATCTGCAGGACGGTTAGGTAGCTGCTGAATCCCTGGAACCGCAGAAGAAGGTTCCTGGTTTAGCTTCAGATTCATGGTTTCGTTAAGGGCTTATAGAGGTGAGGAGTTTAGGGTTTAGGGCTTAGGGGTTTAGAGGTTTAGGGCTTAGGGTTAAGGGGTTTAGGGCTCAGGGTTTAGGCTTTAGGCTTCATGGTTTAGGATTCAGGCATTGTAGGCTTTCAAACGGGGTTCAGGGCTTGGGTATTCTGAGGCTCAGCAGCGATACGTCCGAATCAAGGTTCAGGATGGAAGAGCATGTAACCCTAAGGCTCCATGTACTCATATAGTATATACTTAGGCCTTAAAGTACCTATATAGGGACCCCTATATGTGCCCGCGCTCCGCGTTCTCGACCCCCCCCCCCCCCCCCCCCCCAATGGTATCCCCCCCCCCCCGACCCGGGCGACCACACAACAAGAACAAGAACAAGAACAAGAAGAAGAACAGCAGCAACAACAAAGCAGCAGCAACCACGCGGAGGAACCACAGGAACCACAGGGGGGGAGGGGGGAGACAGGAACCAGAAGAACCACAAAAGGGAGGGGGAAAACCAAGAGGAACCACAGGGGGGGGGGGAACCACAGGAACCACAGGGGGGGGGAGGGGGATTACCATGGGGGGGGGAGGGGGGGGGGGGTGCGCGGATGCTGGCACATATAAGGCTTAAGTATCATGGAGCCTTTGGGAAATGGCACGATGAGCTGTGATGAGGATGGTGACGCTGAAGCTGATGGTGATGTGGATTTCTTTTGTGATGTAGAACGTGAACCCTAAACCATCAATGCTGCTTCATGACATTACCGTATGATCCTGAACATCAACTCAACATTGCCCCCCTACATCCGATTCCTAACACCTTGTTCACGCCAGACCCCGAACCCCAAAGCCCAAACCCTAAACACCAAACCCTGAATCCCAAAGCCCAACGCCCAAACCCTAAACAACAAACCCTGAACCCCAAAGCCCAAACCCCTGAACCCAAGGCCGCGCATCTGTATTGGACCTTACACCTAGGCCCTTGATCCCTACATCGGAGCATACAGCTTGGCATATGAGGCTTTAGAGGTTTAGGGCTTAATGCTTTAGGGCTTGAAGGGCATTGAGGTTTCGAAGTGTACACAACCCAGGAAACCCAAACACGTAATTTAACCCGAATTGCAAAGCTTCGACGGCAGGAGCGTGCCGGCGCTTGGGCTTCAATCTCTGAGTCTGCAACATCTGGCCGGCTTTGATTCGAGCACTTCCCTAAACCCTCGAACTTGTCTCTATATCCCAGGACCCCTTGTCCAATTATGGTAACTTAAACCTTAAACCCTAAAGCCGTAAAGGAACCCTCATAGATCCCTTAAAGGATCCCTTAAAGGATCCCTAAATACCCCAAGCTTGTAAATCCTCTATCGGGCTCAGCTTCTTCTCGGCTGCGAGGAGCGTCGCGCAGGCAGATCGAACGCAGTGGCCTTGAGTCCAAGGGGTAAAGGAGGGACCCTTAATGGGGACCCCTACCCTATAACGGGCTTTATGATGGGTATATTAAGGGTGTATACCTAGGGGTCCTTATTTCAGGGTTCCTCCTTTTACGCTTGGATTGAAGAATTCCGAGGATTCGGGGCCTACGGTTGAAGGGTTTACCCTTTTAGGATTTGGAGGTCGTGTTTTTCAAGGGGATGGATGGGTTCAGGGTTTAGGGTTAAGGGGTTTGCGGCCGTCAGATGTGCATGCAGCAAATCACATGTTGCGGACCTGCTCGTAAATGTTCGGTCCTATTGCTGACAGCTAACCTCATCCAAACCTTGAAGATAAACCTAGAACGAAGTTATGAAAGTGTGTTGTAAATGGAATCAGAAGATATGCCCTGAAACCCCTAAACCCAAACTCATAAGGGCCCCAAAAAGCACATAAGCAAAACTTAGGATAGGGATATCCCATATAAACCCCCTTATAATGAAGCCCAGTAAGGTAGGGATATCACCATAAAATGTTTATGCTTATGTGCTTTTTGGGTCCCCAGCATAAACTTTCCTATCGCACTCCGCATCTGGACGCTCTGTTGCAGGTTGAAGGACAAGGGTTTCGGAACACTTATAAACCCCAAACCCGTAACAAGTAAGTGCGGTGTATGCGTCCGAAACTCAGGGGGCCTAATGCAGGGGCCTTAATAATTGGAATGGGTTTGGGGTTCAGCTGTACTGAAGTTGTGATAGGAAACACTGCAGAGTATTGTTACTAATCATACCGATCGGTCTTATAGGGTTCGGAGTTAGGGAGTTTGTAGGATCCAGAATCCAGAGTTCAGGCTTGAGTTCAAGTTTGGGCTTTAGCCTTTAGTGCTTGAAAACCAACTGGCCCAGAAACTAACGACCTGAATCCCCACGCCAGCATATGGGTAGTTGTCAAAATTAGGGTCCCTTTTTGGGCACCCTAAAGATTAGGTGCCGTGTTAAAATAAGGACCCAAAAAGGGACCCTAATTTTGACAACCACCCATATACCAGAATCTGACTGGATGCTAGGAAAAACCACGTGTGGGAGAACAAAACCTTGCACCCAGAAACAGAAGACGGGGCTCACGCTCATGCTATTCACACATTCGGGTACTTACGGCTCAAGTTCTCAGGGTTTAGAATTAAGAATACTTCTACAGTAGTAGCCAGAAAGTTGGAACATCAGTATCCTCATGCCCTTAATATGTAGTATAGGGAATCCCACCAATCAACCTAAATCCATGTTCCAACTTTCTGGGATAAACCCTAAACCCTAAACCCTAAACCCTAAACCGTTACTATAGACGGACATGCCAAGCCGCAGCAAAGCAGAAAGCCGGAAATGCCCTGGCCTCCGCGCTGTTTCTTCTTCGGGCGAGGCGGGGGTTTCGGTTTAGGGTTTAGGGGTTTATACCATTATGACTAATTATTACTATCTATTAGTACTATTATTACTATGATTACTATTAGTACTATTATTACTATTATTACTATTATTACTATTATTACTATTAGTACTATTATTACTATTATTACTATTAGTACTATTATGAATGAGAACCACTGCAGGACATGGGAAGCACAGTCAAACTGCGGAGGGACCCTAAAGCCTACATTTACCCCAAATAGCTTATGTTTAAGGACAGCTTAAGGAGCCCTAAAATCCTAAAAAGGATAGGCTGCTTCGGGTCTTCTTGGTAAAAGCCCAAGCCCTAAACCTTAAAGGGAACTCCAGAAAGTTGGAATATGGATTAATGGTAGGATCCCCTATAATTTACCTTAAAGGGGCTACGATACTGATATTCCAACTTTCTGGCTTCTACTGTAAAGCCTAATCACTGAATGCGCTCAAGCCCAGAGCCCTCAATGGCTGCTGGCCCAAGGCAACCCAAACTTCCTCAGAGCGATTATGTAGCTCTGCTAAGGAACCCTGGGGCATAAGAATGGTACTGACTTAGGCTGCCATATTTTTGTGATTCTCGCTGCGGGACTTTGAAGGAAGGAAGGAAGCTGGAAGTATACGGGAAAATGACCCTAATATAGCGAAAACAGGGGACCCCTTAAAGGGTTCCTCTAAGGGATCTATAAGGGTTCTATAAAGGGTTTAGGGTTTAGAGTTTCCGAAAGGAAGAGAGTCTAATATAGCACCCGAAATAGTAGGATCCTCATTATAAGGACCCCCGAAAGAAGGTACCCCGGAGTGATGGGGTGCCGGGGTTGAGGGCGAGAAACCCAAGGCTCATGGCTGCGAGCTAGAGGCAACCCGCCTCAACTCCAAACCTTGAAACCCAAAACCATCGGGTTTCGGGTTAAGGTTTAGGGTTTAGAGTTTAGGGTTTAGGGTTTAGGGTTAAGATAGGAGCTTAACCCAAAGGGTCCAAAGTACCTTTATAGCAGAATGTAAGGTTTCTATATTAGGAATTACTATGATGCTTTTGGGGAAGTATCCCGAATAACAGTACCTAGGACCCTTTGGGTTGAAACCCAAAACCACTGAATCCCTAAACCCTCAACCCTAAGTCCTAAGCCGCCTCAAGCCCGCACAAGGGAGATGACATGCAGCGGGTGACCACAACACACCCTAAACACCGAAGACCCCCGACTCCAAAACTGCAAGGAAAGCTCCGAGCCCGATACCTATACGCTTAGGGTTTAGGGTTTAGGGTTTAGGGTTTAGGGTATAGGGTTTAGGGTATAGGGTTTAGGGTATAGGGTTTAGGGTTTAGGGTTTAGGGTTTTGGGTTACTATACGCCGTTACTAGACCTAAGAGTAACCTAGGGACCTAGGGATAAAAAGGGTGCCCTTATTGGCTTAAAGGGGCTTATAAGGGAACCTGAACCAGAGAAAAGGGAATATGGGCCTACTCTAGGTCCTAGGTTAGAACCGTAATAAAAACATTGTGTTTAATATTCTCTTGGGTTTCAAGAACAAAAGTAAAAATAATTCCTAAGGAGACTGGAGATACCTCTTCCAGCATCTCCTCAACAGACTGGAGCAGCCATGTAAGATGATCAAACGCAAATAAACACAAATCCCTACACATCCTCGGGCCCTAAACTCTTAAACTTACGCCTGAAAAAACTTCAAGCATCAAAGAGTCCATTCAATAGGATTGCCTTTCCTGGTCCATATCTATACGTTAAATTGCTTTCTTCGTCTCTGGCTGCGACCTCGCCCATTTCCAGACGTGCCGGTACCGTCATCTTTGACTTGCACAATCTGCCTCGATAGATTCCGGGTTGGGGGTGCTTTATTTCTGGGCGGCTTGGTTTTTGTTTGTCGGGGGGGGGGGGGGCAGAGCCGAGGCCGCTTGCATGCTTAACCCTAAGGGTCCATGTACTCATATAGTATATACATTGGCCTTAAAGTACTCCCTATATAGGTACATTGGACCCAAAGTATATGCTATGTGGGTACATGGACCCTTAGGGTAAGGGTGGTGAGATGGATTAGATGGGGGTGAGGTGACCCCTCAAGCCTAGATCCTTCAGCCGGCTACTAGGCTACTACAGTTGCCAGAGTCTAGCACAAAACGGTTTTTAGAAAGGCCTCAGCTCTCCGAAAGGAGGCGTTTGAGCTTGGTTCGCGTGTTTATAGACAGCAGCCAGCACGGCTTGTGGTATACAGCTTGTGAGTTGGAGGCTGGGCCATCATTGGTGATTGCATTTCGATGGGTTTCCGAGTGCCCTGCCTAGTGACCTAGTGGTCCCTATTCATGTGAGCACTTTCCTCTTAACTTTGAGGTCAATCCAAATACCACAAAGGATGGTATGTACTTTGGCCTTACCGGGGTATCTAAAAAGGTACAGTGAAGCCGAAACAGCCGAAATATAGTAAGCCCCATTAGAGTTGGAAACCGGATTAAGGACAAATAGTCCTGGGTTTCCCTATTAATTACTCTTCAGGATTGAGGCTCTTGGGTTTCCGACTTTTGGCTTCTACTGTATGTACTATTTAGGTACAGCAGCCCTTGGTGTAATGTGACTTGAGGATGGAAGCATGACTGCAAACACCCGATGCCCTCACATGCTGCACGGAAGTCCTGCCCGTAATATCCCCAAAGGCTGTAAGGTAGGCTACGAGTACGGGAGCCTGCTTGTTTGGGACCGTGACATTGAGGTCTTGCGATTGTGGAACCACAAGGGACTGCAACTGCTTTTTGTAACTCTCCAGGTCCCAACATTGAAACAAGCCAATGGTCGTGCCTTGCCCGCCATGCGCAAAGGAGGACAAGCCTCACGATCTTAAGGTCTAGGGCTGCGGGAGGTTAGGGGCAGGCAACGGGTTTCGGATTTATATAACGGATAACGCGGATAGTATATACGTTGGCCTCAATTAAGTAGTCCTATACATGGGGACCTTGTATACCATTTGGGTATATGGGTGTAGAACATGATGCATCGAGAATAAGGTTCAAGCTTCGCGGCTTCTCCCGGGGATGGCTCTCTAGGTTTCACTGAGGGGCAACGAGACAGGAACGAGATTACTGCAGGGGCCTGAATAACTAGAATGTGGTTTTAGGCTCCTCTAGAGCTATAATCATGACAAGGAGCCCGAAGGACTAACTCTGGGCGAGTATTTAGGCTTCTATATCGTTTCAAGCTTCAGCCCTGCCGACATCACCAGGCTAACTAGTTTCGGGGCCTTAACAATTAGACTCGGGCTTTGGGGCCATTAGACTAGAATCAGAATAAGTACCTATACTTGTTATGAGGGTTCCTGATTCAGAATAAGGAACCCTCAAAACAAGTATAGGTACTTATTTAGGCCCCTAATATAGAACCCTACTATAGATCCCCCTACTATAGATCCCTTATAGACCCCTTTGAGGATCCCTTTAAAGGGAACCCTTTAGGCCCCTATGTTCGGCTTCACGGTTGGAAGGCTAAGCTGGAGAGGGTTTAGGGTTTAGGGTTTAGGGGTTTAGGGTTTAGGGTTTAGGGCCCCTAAGTAATGATGACTACCCAAGGGCCCCAGAGTAGTTCTTTTTTGGGATTCCCCCTATAGGATTCTCAATATGAACCCCCAAAAAGGAACTACTTTGGGGCCTTTGGGTAATTGCAAGGGTTTAGGGTTTCGGCCTTGGGATCCGAAAACCTACCGTTTTAAGGGTTCTACCCTCTAATAAATTCAGGGGTCATAACCTAATATTTTGAAGGGCTTGGCGATACACGGGTTTAGACTGACTTGCAATTGAAGACGTCGCAGACTCCAAGAACCTAAGACCCCAACATGTAGCATTTTTGAGGATAACATGTCTCAAGACGACTGGGTAAAAAAAGAAATGTGCTACAATTCAGGGTCTAGACCAGATATACGTGTGCTGTGGGACACTCGACTCCCTAATATAATCACCCTACATGACATTCAAATTGTAGCTCCCGCAACTCAACCTAGTATACTGGCTGCTAGGCTTCCAACATCGTAAGGCCACACCCAGGAACGGCGATAAAGCCTACCCTAAGGGTCCATGTGCGCAAATCTTGTACAGCTTGGCCCCAAAGTCGCTATAAAATTGGGACTACTTTAAGACCAGAGTATACACTAGTCGGGCACATGGACCCTCGCAAACCCTAAAGAGCCCTTATAGAACCCGTTCAGAACGTAACCCACGAAGGACCGTATTAAAAGGCACATGGACCCTTAGGGCCAAGGCCCTAAACGCTCTCCAAGGAACAGCTCCAGGAGTGCCGCGGCTGCTCGTGCGCCCAGGGCTTGCAATCCTCATGTGGGTGGTTGTCAAAATTGGGGTCCCTGTTTGGGTCCTTTATATAATACGGCACCCATTATTAGGGTATCCAAAAAGGGACCCTAATTTTTACAGCCACCCATATCTCAGAGAGCCAAAAACCTTCTACCCAAAGAGTCCAAAAGGACCCAATTTTATTTAATTGGGTTTAGGATGGTAGTTTTCGTAGCTTTGTATTCGGCCATGACTTTTAGGCGCTTGGACCTTTCGGGTTAACTGACGAATGCATCATCCTGCAAAAGATGCCGATTTTTATGCAACATTTCCAGAGCTACCAAACTCTCCGAGGACAAGGCGGTCAGTTTCGTCGGAATTCCCCTACGCCACAACTGCAGGTCCTTCAACTGTAACGGCCTGCAAAACCCCAACAGCTGGATACCAGAGGCCCTCATCCAAAACCCTTGCAGACAATGGAATAAAGCCTTGAGCTGCAAACTCTAAACTACGTACCGGGCCAAACTCGATCAAGCTCTAAAGCGGCCATCTAAAACTCCGCCCGTGAAGTCTCTGAGAAGAAGAGGAAACAGCGTTCGTAAGGAACCCCCGTCCGACCCAACAATGGTAAAATGGAGCTTCCCGCTGGCCTACCTGGCCATGCTAACAGGTTCAATCTATGAAGAAAGCTCGAACAGTTCAGATGCCGGCAAATGGGTCATTGTGCCTTACACGCTATACACATCTGACAGTATGCATATGAGGTGCGGAGCATCTATGTAAAACTCCAAAGTCTAGCCCCGACCCCTGACGGTCCTTCGACAGAGGCATTCCGCCCCTCGGGAGCAGCAAGGAAGCAGCTTTTGATTGAGGCTTGGGGTTAGGGCTGCAGCAATCGGTGCCATAAGGCCCCCCCAAACCCTAAACCCTACTTTATCGGGGTTTTAGCAGGGTTCTTCTGGTTTTACCAGGGCCCAAGATGGGTGTTATGGCTCCGGATGGGTGATATAGGCTTGATACTGTGGATGTACAAAATATGCCCATTGTAAGGAATATGCCCTAATTCCCATAGTTTAGAGTCCTTAAGGCCATGCAGGATTTTGTCCATCAGCAGTAGGGGGACAAGGTCTCCTGGGCTTCACAGGCAGTGTGCATGGTTTTTTAGCCTTTACTTACTACAGGGGCTCGAAATACCGACTTTCCATGTCTTGACCTCTGTAGGGCGCTGATGCTTAAACATCCGGAAAGCATTTCGGCTCCAGGACACTACATATCTAAGGATGGCAAAGTCAGCTTCCAAGCACAAGAGATACCAGTTTTCCACCAAATTCGGGCACTGGGCACCCTCAATCCCAAACCCTCGGCCGTAAACTCCAGACATTGAATAGTTGAACCCTAAGCCTTAAACCTTGAACGCCCAAATCCCTAAACTCAAACCCTGAATTTTTGCAACTTAAACCCGAAAACAAAAACAAAAACACACGGCCCTAACCCATCATTGCAACACTGAGCCCTAAGCCCTAAGCTCCAAACCCTGAGCCCTAAACACCAAACCCTGAACCCTAAACTCTGAATCCTAAACCCGAAACTCTAAACCCTAAACCCTAAAGCCGCAACTCTAAACCCTAAACCCTAAGAAAACTTGAAACCCGAAGATGCCTTTGGATTCAAGCTACCCTAACAAGAACCTTAGTTACTAAGTCCCATGGTCCTTTAAGTAGCCCTAAGACCCCTCTTATAGAACCCTTATAGATGTCTTTTAAGGAGCCCTTTAAAGAGCCCTATAGTTACTGAGTCCCATGATCCTTTAAGTAGCCCTTTCGGACATGGGGAAAAATTCTTCTAAGGAGCCCCGCGGGACAAAAGCGTCTAAGGCTTGAGCTTAGGGTTTAGGGTTCGGGGTTCAGGGTTTGGATTTTAGGGGTTGGGGTTTAGAGTTCAAGGTATTGCTAGAGATTAAGGCTTAGGGATGTTTGGGGTTCAGAGTTTAGGGCCCCTTGCTTTAGACCCTCGTTGTATAGCGCTTCAAATTTACTATTGCGCTCAAAACTGAGCCGTGTCTGATCCTCCCAGAGCCTCCAAAACCCCTTAATTCATGAATATACCTTCAATGATAATAGGATCCCTTATATGATTTAGGGTATATTCCTTAATTAAGGGGTTTTGGAGCCTCTGGGCTCCACGGGGACGCGCCTCGATCAGCGTCACAGCTGCCCTGAGGATGCCATGCACGGAACCTGGGGTGCGTTTCGGCTCGTAGAACTCGGTATGGGGGTTCAGGGTATGGGATATCCTAGACCCAGAGGGTCCCAGGTACTGTTATGGGGGATACTTTCCCAAATCATAATAGTAATTCCTAATAATTCTAATATAGAAACCCTACATTCTACTATAAAGGTACTTTGGACCCTTTGGGGGGATTCAGGGTATGGGATATCCTGGAGGGTTCAGAAACTTCGTGGGGTTGGGGGTAAGAGGTGGAGGTTTAAGGTTCTGACGTGACAGCCACGCTGCCAAGCGCTTGCTTGAGCAGCTGTTGCTCGTGGAAACAGCCGTGGCAATCCGAGCTAGCTCTCGCGCGGCGGCTCAACCACGTCGAAGCAGGTCAGCAGGTTCTGTCCACCCTGACCCGCTCGTGTGGACAGAAAGGCCCGCATGAAGTTGCTGATGTCCAGTTCATGCAGTAATTAGCAGCGCCCTAAACTCGTGTATTAGATCCAGCTGGTAGTGACGATGCTTTTCCGTCACAAAAATTCTGACGAACAATGTGCAACGTCTTATGTCGCACGTGTCTTCCATGCCAAATCCGACACACGGAACACTAAATCAGAAAACATTACCCTTGACGCCTTCCACACCCCAAGACCCTAAATCCAAGGCAGTGTTCCTCGTTCGTGTAGGATAGTCTACAGGAGAGCATGCAAACAGTCTCTTTGGAACTAAGACTCCGGGTGCAATGTTCAAAGTTTGTCTTAAACCTAAAACCCCAGATAGAGTCGCGACGTCAGACCGCAGTGCAACACCGGAGCGAACATGATGGAGGCGCTAAACCCAGCAGACGTAGGAGCTGCTGACTCAGCCACAAGGGCCCATGCAAATCTGCAGTTAATGTGTCTCGCCTGTACTACATAAGCTCTATAGACTCGAAAACATGATATGATCCCATGCAGAATCCCAAGTCGCTGCATCACCAAGCTCTATCCACCGGAAGCACTGTAGAAATCCCGTGTAATCGTTGAACGCTTAACCTTCTCTAAGCTACCAGTAAAACCGAGATCCCTGGCCTGATCACTCAATCCCAAAGTACACATTCCATCAACCCGGGTTTTGGGGTTTAAGGTTTTAGGTAATGCTTTAAAGTTTAAGCTTAAGGGTTTAGGGTTTGGGGTTCTAGGGTTCAGGGTTTTAAGGCATAAGGCATCCACCCGCCATAGTAGGGCCTCGCAAAACCTTATAGTAATTAGAACAGGATCTTGGGCTGTGTTGTCGCAAACGAAAAATGAATACTAAGTGGCGATTAGGCACCCTACGGCTCCACACACCTACATATTTTATACGAAGGCCGTAAAGGAATATTACATAAGAAACACTTTAAGACGTAAGCACATGCTCTATATATATATATATATATATATCTACACACATCTAGATATAGGTATGTTGATCCATAGATACATAAAGCTACATGGAGCATTAGTGTCAGGCTTCTCGCTTACACCCCGAGGCTGTGACCGGGTTTCTCGCAGCTGGTCCTTGACCGCAGGTTGAGATTTCAGGTTTAGGATCAAGCGCGTAGCATAAATGGGTTGGGGTTAGTGGAGGTATGAGGTTTGGCGAATCCTGAGAAAGATGGACCCCTCAAGTGAGCACTGTACAAGTGGAAGCATCTTTTCAAGCGCTAAGTCCGCTAAGTGTCAAAACTACGACACAGCTTAAGGCTACACTTATAGACGGTTTACGGCCTGAGGAGGGCTTTGGGGTAATATGAGGGCCTCAACAAGCAGAATATGGTTTTGGGGCCCATTATACCAAAATAGTTACAATAAGGAACCCCCAAGATAGTACTGGTAACTATGTAGGCCCATACTAGTCTTGGACAGTAAAGGCTGATCAGCGCTGTCAACTCGAGGTTGAGGCTTGTGGCCTTGGAGACCTGCGTCGTACACCCTAAACCCTAATATTTCAATAGGGGTCTTACGAATTAGAATGGCTTCGGGCGGAACATATGGAATGGCTATACAAGGACCATAACGGGATGAGATTTCATCTTTGCCATTTTAGCTATAGTCTCCATTGTAGTTCCTTTTTCTGGTTGGCCAGCTTTATGGGTAGGCTCCTATAATAGAGATTTTGGTTAACCAAAAAAAAGGAACTACAATGGAGACGATAGGTACAGAGCATCTTTATGCTGCAGTTTTGGGAGAATCAGAAGATTGCTCACTGCTTACAGCTGCTTGTAGGAAGGGCGGCGCTCGTGTCATGCTCAGACGTCCATCCAATGTAGGGGCCTGAATAGTTAGAATAGGGTTTAGGGTTTAGGGTTTAGGGTGTATATTATATTAGAATTATTATCAATTTTGGGTGTATATTATATTAGAATCATTATCAGCGAACCCCCAAAGTGGCATTGGTATCTTATTCCACAAGGCCCCTACACCATGCAAAAAAAAAAAAAAACAATCCAGGTTGGGGCTGCCAATGAAAATCGAAGTGTGCCCAAGAAAGGAAAAAACTACTACAGGGTAACTAGCTTCAGGGATCCGAGGTGTAAGGCAGAGTCTGAGGCAAGCGGGATCTACATGTAGGTTTTTGGATCGAGAAGCTGCTTTAGGGTCCGTTTTCAGCCATGTCTTTGCGTCAACCCACCGGCAGTCGACGAAACCGTGCCAAGCATGATTCACCACCCTAAACCCTAAACCCCGAAATCCTAAACCCCTAAACTAAACCCTAAATCCTAAACCCTAAACTCTACATCCTAAACCTGTAAGCCCTAAACATTTTTCTGCGCCTTGGAGCCGTCTGGCCCCCTTCATCCTTTCACCCTGAGCCCAAAAAACCCTACGGCTTCCAGAACCCACCTAGTACCCTTTAATGGAGCTCTTATGGTCCTTAATGTACCGTTTAATGGAGCCCTTATGGTCCTTAAAGTACCCTTTAATAGAGCCATTCTGGTCCTCAATAGTGGGTATATTTAAGGTATATTGGAGGGTAGTTGGGGGATCTAGGTTAGGGTTTTGGTTTATGGTTTAGGGTTTATAGGTTTCAAACCCTGGGTTCAGAACCCTGAACCACTAAAGTGCATCGCGCCCAGATCGTCACGGCCTGTTTCGCGGAGGCTTCTGCCCATAAAGAGGCGCCTTCCCCTAAGGGTCCACGTACCAAAATAGTATATATTTTGGCCTTAAAGTAGTCCCTATATAGGTACATTGGGGCCAAAGTATATACTATTTGGGTACATGGACCCTTAGGGCACAAGAGCGACGACAGTCCATCTCAGAATACATCTCTTGTGCAGCATGAGGAGCTTCTAAAAACGTGATACAAAGCTTTCGAAGGTTACTAACACAGACTGGCTTCGTATTGTCGAAGCTGTAGACTGTAGCAGTGAAAAGCGTGGCAAGTCGTTTTGCCCTTGCCTTGGCCTTTCGTTGGGCCACGATCACGCTCCATGCTCCTTCTGCGCGCTTCAGCGCGTCCAGCACCTCGAACATTTCCTTGAACCTGTTCTTCCCTTCGTACAACGAAGCTGCGAAAGAGCTCCGGGAACCCAGTTCGGTTCAAAGTCGCTGATCACTTGTGCCCCAGGCTAAACTCCAAAAGTCTTCACGTAGTCGTGGCTCTAACAGCATTGTACCCCATAAGCCAAGCGTTGATGCTCCAACCTGAGACCCGCAAAAACCTTCCTTTTCAAAATCTCTACCTATCGTCTCCATTGCAGTTCCTTTCTTTGGTTTAAGCAGTTTTGGAACTAGGATCCTATAACAAATGCAGTAAAGCAACTACAGTGGAGACTAGAGGTATATTGGGAATATTAGGAATTCAAGAAGGTCATGTCGTCGCCGTAACCTTGATATAGAGAAAACATGTTGTGGGTTCCCTACGTAGGGCTCGGGGTATTTAGGGTGTATTGGGCAACTCTCTGACCGGGAACCCGAAGCCCAAACTCCAAAAACCTAAATCCTAAACCCAAACTCTCTGACCCTCAACCCTAAACCCCGACTCTCTATCCCTGTAGCTGCATGCATCGAAGCATCCACAGATCGATACCCTTCTTGCCAAGGGCGAGCAGTGGACATACTGCCGCCTGTGCAGAAATCCGTCATTCACATAGTAGTTGAATATTTAGTTGTGCATATAAACATACATAGCCGCACCTGTAGCTTAACTATACTTTTCTCAATATCTGTATCTGTATACGTATATACATATATGCATATATGCATCTGCCCATCTGTCGCTCTATAGTGTATACATGTAACAACAAACGAACGAGAAACTACCCAAACAGCTAGATTTAAATAACTACCTTAAGAAACAGACACTTATGTATGATCATATATATATATATGTGTATCTATATATATATATATATATGTGTACAGACGTATATGTATGTGTAAAGGGACAGCCACCCGCGATTTAGCAGTTTAGGCTTCCAGTGGTGTGATGCGGTTGCAAAAAATAGAGAGTCTCTGTGTTGAACTATGACGAGGTTGATAACATGTGGCTCAGCAGCGTAGTGAACATGTGTCAGCAGAAGACATTGGCATGGTACTCAGAAGCCTGATCAAGTGGAAAGGGTACTTTGTCAGTGAGCTTGAGAGCACCCACTCAAAGTCAAGAAGCTGACACTAGGGTTCAGGGTTTCATGTTTCTAATCCCCTATATCTAGCATAGTACCTCATTACGATGCAACGATTCAAGCCTTCGGGTTGCAGAGATCCGGGAAAGGAGGAAACCCGTAGAGGAGCCAGAACAACACGGTACAAAAACCCCACGAACGCTTGCACGTACACAAATCTAGGACTTCTAGCTTTTAAGCCTCAACTCCAAGGGACGTCTGTGGAAAGCCTGCCTGCAAAGACGCACCGTCCACGGGACCCGGCTCGTTCACTCTCGGTGCGATGAGTGCCTGCTCTATTTGGGCATATTTGGGTCGGACATTGTTATGTGACCTCCATGAATAGTGGTTCTGAGGTTTAGGGTTTTGGGGGTTCAAGACTTGCGGGTTCAGGGTTTAGTCTGGCTTCGGGCCCAACTGGTTTAGTGCTTTAGGCTTTGTTTTCTCATACACAGGGGTCGACGGCGTGCAGGACCCCCAGCACTTCTCTTTATCCGCAAGACAGTGATACACTTCGTTGTATTAGACTTTAACCCAGTTTCAAAAAACGATATGAAAGGCACCTCAACCCTACACCCTAACCCCTCGATGCCCTCAGCCCGAAAGCGTAAACCTTCGAACCTGAAAGGCTAATATAGGGGCCTTATAAAAATTAGAACAGGTTTTCGGGGTACTTTATGTCTTATGTATATCTATAATAAGGAACCCGAAGGAATAATATTGGCAATCATTCCGACTGCTATAACATCCTCGAAGGACTGCCTCCAAAGCAATGCACACTTCGGTCGTGAGCTTTCCTTTCAACCCGGGATGTCGAATTGGGTGTTTCGGTTTCGGGCTTCAGGGGTTGAACTTGCTGTAAGGGCTCGGGATGTTTAGGGCAGAGTTCAGGGGCTATACGGCTTTGGGGCGTAGGCTATGCGGGCTTATAGCACCTGGATGCTTCAGGGGTTGCGGGGCGAACAGGGTTGGGACTTGTAGCGTGCAGTGGCTTTAAGGATCAGGGCGGTTTGAGCAGCGGTTGGCGTCTGAATAGAGCTGATCAAAACCTTCAAAAATCCACTGCTGACGCTTTCAGTATATGCCGAGAGTAATAGTCGGTGCTAACAGTATGCTCCTTCTGCCTTCTCATTATTATGCTGTGATGAGGGCCACTATTTACGGTAAACCTCCTTGGACCAGTTTAGGCTTTGTCTCATCTTCCCTAGCGTTCGGGCTGAATCACTGAACACCGAACTCCCCGAAAAGCAAACCCTGAAGCCTGAACCCCGCAACCTACATAACTGATAAACCCTAAACTCGGTAACGCCAAGCGCTGCTTCACCTAGACTCTTCAATGTAGTACCTTTCTTGGATAACCTTTCTTTGAGCTTAGACCCTACAACAAGAAACTAAGGCCACATTGCACCTTTAGTCTCCATTGTAGTTCGTTTCTTTGGTTATTTAACCAACGTTTTATGGTTAGGATCCTATTTTCCCTAAGGGTCCATGTACTCATATAGTATATACATTGGCATTAAAGTACTCCCTATATAGGTACATTGGGCGCAAAGTATATGCTATATGGGTACATGTACCCTTAGGGATTACGAACTTGGTTCATGGAGACTGTAGGTAGGGTCTATGGGCGAGGCTTCACCCTGAAACCCTGAGGTCTCCGCTCACAGCCGCCTGCACTTCCAAGCTCCTCCAGGAAGCGGGGTGGGGGGGGGGGGTTTAGGGTTTTAGGAATTTAGGGTTTAGGGGTTTAGGAATTTAGGGTTTAGTGAAGTGGTTTAGGGGTTTAGGGGAGAGGAGAGTTGGGGCAAACTTCTGCGAGGTTTTCACAACTTTCCCCACACCCCGACTCCTACACACCCCTCAGCCCTAAAACCCCAACCCCCTCACCCTAGACCCTCAACCCTGAACCCCAAAACCCTAAACTCCCTAAACCACTATCCCCAAACCCTCAACCCTAAACCCCAAAAGCCCAAACCCCCAAATCTCAAAACCCCCAAACCCTAAACCCCCAAACCCCAAAACCCCCAAAACCCTGAAAAGCCGTAAACCCAAAGCCCCAAAAAGCCCTAAAAGCCCTAAACAAACCCTACACCGAAACCCCACAAAAGCCCCAAACCCTAAACCCAAACCCCTAAACCCCCAAAACCTAAAAAACCCTAAACCGAAACCCCACAAAAGACCAAAGGTAAGCACTCCAAACCCCTAAACCCCCCAAACCTAAAAAGCCCTAAACCGAAACCCCACAAAAGACCAAAGGCAAGCACTCCAACCTCCCCTCGCTATGCTTGCAGCGCCCGCCTCTGGGCCCAACTCGCCAAGGCCTGGGTTCAAGTTCGGATTTTAAGATGTCGGCTTTATTAGGGTAAACCGTGGAGGTTAGGGTTAATCCATATATATATATATATATACAGTTATATATACATATAAATATAGCCATATAGTTATATAGATACATTATTGTATAAAGTTTAGGGTTTATAGGGCTTAGTGTGTAAGGTTTAGGGTCTAAGTATGGGGTTTGGGGTCTGAGGTTAAGGGTCCAGGGTTTAGAGTTTGTAGGCTGGGGGAGGAAGGTAGACCATGCAAGTTGAGGCCAACACAGACACAGAATATTGGGTCTAGGGTCATCCAGACCTGTCGATGCCCCGCACAATGACCCCTGATGCGTATGCAGTAAGCGCAATCCGCAAGGACGAACCCGGCAACGCGAATGTTTCTACACTTTCGTGTTCTGAGATTACCCAGAGGCCCCAAAGTAGTTCCTTTTTGGGCTTACCTTACAGGATTCTTTATACGAGCCCCCAAAAAAGGAACTACTTTGGGGCCTTTGGGTAAAGGAAGGGAACGAGAGAAGCGATTGAAGCGTTCCAAACTCGACAACCTTTTCCCCCATGTCGTGGAAATGTCGAGCCTCGGCCCTCAACCCTAAACCCTAAACCCTGAACCCTAAAACCCTAGACCCTATCCCTAAACCGGAATAACCTGCCTTTTTAAGGACTTATTTATGGAGAACATAATAAGGACCCCTAAAAAGGTAGGTTATTCCGGCTTAAGGTATCCCTAAAACTTCTAAACCTTAAACCCCTAAACCCCTAGACCCTAAAACCCTAAACCCTAAAACCAAAGGCCCCAAGGTAGTTCCTTTTGGGGGTTCATATCTAGAATTCTATAAGGTAATCCCAAAAAAGAACTGCTTTGGGGCCTTTGGGTAGACCCTATATCCCTAAACCCTAAACCCTAAGGCCCCTATACTAAACCCCCATAATACCCCTTATAGTAACCCTAAACCCTAAATCCCTCGACCCTACCGATAGTCTCCATTGTAGTTCCTTTTGGGGCTACCTTATAGAACCCTCCTTATAAGATTGGTTGAACCAGGAAAAAGGAACTACAATGGAGACTATAGGTACACCCTAAACCCTAAACCCCTAAATCCTAAAACCCTATCCCCAAACCCTAAACCGAGCCTCGGCCAGATCCGGTGTTGCGCGCTGCGGCGCCGCCGCGAGGCGGAGCAGAGCCGGGAGCAACGGCCGAGGCAAAGCGCTGGAGCCCTGCAGATTTCTGCCCAAAGGGTCGATATAGTAGAATGTAGGGTTTCTAGATTTCACAGCTTAAGGAGTTTTAGGTTTCAGGGTTTTAGGGGAGTTAAGGTGTCATACACTTCGGGCTTGAGGGTATACTTACCCAAAGGGTCCAAAGTACCTTTTATAGTAGAATGTCCGGTTTCTATATTAGGAATTACTATTATGATTTGGGAAAGTATCCCCCATAACAGTGCCCAGGACCCTTTGGGCTGGTGACGTCGGGGGCCTTAGTAATTTTAGTAGGGTTCCCTTTAAAGGGGCCTATAAGGGCTACTAAAAGTGATCTACAAGGGTACTATAACGGAGGGGCCTTAATAATTAGAGTAGGGTTTGGGCTTCTGTATAGGTTGAGGGTTTATAGGGTTGAGGGTTTAGAGTTTAGGGGGTCTCGGGCTGAGGTATGGGTCTGTAGAGTGCTTTATGCGCCCAGGGTTCAAAATGAGATGCCTCACGGGACCGGCAAGACAACAGGATCACAACGGCTTCGTGCATCAAAGTCGCATGATGCGCAGGTTACTGGCCTCTTCGTTTGTGGGGTGCTGGTAGACTGCACGGTCTGCAAACCATGTAGAGCATACATAAGCCCTTCATACTTCATAATAGTATCGTCTTATGGTCCAGCTAGCAATAGTACCCCCCTGATAGAACCGACCCTAAACCCCAAATCCCAACAAACCAGAAGCCTCACGTAAGCCCTATAAACCCTAAAACGCTAGCAAAAAACATGCCCAACCTCCTGTGCATCCTCGGCGTCCGGCTGCTCGCCTTGGATAACATACACGAGCTTAGGCTTCAAACTACGGCTAAGGCATCGATGTCAAACAGCAGTCAAAGCTATGCTTGGCGTTTTGTGGTGGGGTTTTGACTCAGCCAATAACAGAAATGCGCAACCATCCCAATTCGGTATCTGGTATGCAAGCGTGCACTTTCGATCAAACCACAAAAGAAATAAATAAAAGGCTGCCAGCTGATGTTAATTGTCACTAGATAAAGGCCTCTCAACAATTCAAATCCTTCAAACAGGGTTTGGGGGTAGAATATCGTGTAACTATCATAAGGAACCCAAAGGAATAGTAACTGGTAGTCCTTGAGCCCCCCCCATATTGAACAGTTCCCAGCGCTGCTTTAAAACGCTAACCTTGGAAGCTGCGTCGCGATTTAGTACCAGTATCACTGCTAGAAAATGCAGGATTCGAATCTCTAACCGTGCTACGAACCCACCAGTGTGTTCCGGTGACTTGTACCATCATCTCAGCCCAGCCAGCAACGAACACCCTGAAGCCTCCCTCAATCTTTAAACCTAGTCTTCGTAAACCTTAGACCCCCCAAGCCTTAGACGGCCCTGAACCTCAAATCGAAAGTACTAGATCTAGATTACCCCTAACCCCTAAACCCCCTAAGCCCCAAACCCTACACAACTGAACCCTCCCCCCCTAAACCCAAACTTGACTTCAAGCCAACAGGGGCGAGGAGCAGACGTGACGCACGACTCGCGCCGTCAGTCTAGCTAAGATGCAGAAGGACTCCTCTAGGGTTTAGGGTAAAAGCGGTTAGGGCTTACCCATAGGCCCCAAAGTAGTTCCTTTTTGGGATTACCTTATAGAATTCTGAATATGAACCCCCAAAACGAACTACTTTTCGGCCTTAGGGTCAGGGCTTAGGTTCGAGGGTTCAGGGCTTAGGGCTAAGATGCGGACCCTAAGGCTCCATGTACCCATATAGTATATACTTAGGCCTTTAAGTACCTATATAGGGACCCCTTTACGGCTTAAGTATCTACTATAAAGGTACATGGAGCCTTTGGGAGAAGGACTCCTCGCGAAGTCGCGGGGGATGATTTCATGGCTTACGGAGTTTTAGGTTTCAGGGTTTTTAAGAGGAGTTAAGGTGTCATATGCTTCGGGCTTGAGGTTATACTTACCCAAAGGGTCCAACGTACCTTTGTAGTAGAATGTCGGGTTTCCATATTAGGAATTACTATTATGATTTGGGAATGTATCCCCCATAACAGTACCTAAGACCCTTTGGGTGAGGGCTTTAAGCCTGAGAGGTTTAGGTCGACGCCCACGTAACTAGTCCCTCACAGCCAAACAAACTCCAAAAGCCCGAAGCCATGCGGCTCCTAATCCAGATCAGGGCCATTACTCTACGTGTCCAAGTGCATCATATACCACCCAAAACACAAACTTGCTCGAATACTACCCGACACCCCAAATGCCTAAGTATTGAGCCCTCTGGACACTTGGGCGTAGAACCCAGGGCTCGCTTGAGGATCTTTGATGCTTTAACCCGGTCATCGCACAAGAGGTGACCTTACCCAACCACCAACCCGAAGGGTCCAAGTACCTAGTTATCATATACTCTCCAAAATAGTAACCTATACATAACTACCATCCTAAACATAAATCACACAATTATTGGATCCTTGGCACCCTGGGGGCAAGACCTACCCTAAGGCCCCAAAGTAGTTCCTTCTTGGGTTCAAATTTAGACGACTTCCATAAGGTAATCCCAAAAAGGAACTACTTTGGGGTTCAAATTTAGACGACTTCCATAAGGTAATCCCAAAAAGGAACTACTTTGGGGCCTATGGGTAAACCGTTACTCAACTCCGAAAGGCGAAATCATGTGAAACCCAGTCACAAACTCGAGATTGGGGCCCCAAAAAAGCACAGAAGCAAAAATTAGGGTTTAGGGTTTGGGGGATTTAGGGGTTTAGGCATCTCCCATATAAACCCCCTTATAATGAAGCCCAATAAGGTAGGGATATCCCTATAAAATGCTTATGCTTATGTCCTTTTTGGGTCCCTAAGAGAACCTCGATCTCGAACCCACACACCGAATGCGGTAGGAACAAAACCCCAAGCCAGCCATTACATGAATTTATAAACCTTACACTAACCCTCAGAGATATCCTGCATACGAACTTTAGAACTCTTAAACCCCTGAGCCCAACACCTAAAACCCCCAGTACCCGAAACGCGCTAGACCCTAAACCCCTAACCCCAAACCTTCAAATCCTAAATCCCTAAACCCTGAATCTTAAACACTAAAACCTAGGCGCCTGACCCCTAAGCCCTGGACGCCTAGCCCTAAACCCCTAAGCCCCAAACCCCTGCGCGCACTTGCAGTCCTCCTCTGCACCGAGAACCGCAAAAAGCCGCGGGAGCCGAGGCCTTAGTTGCTTAGCAGTGGACGAGTATCGTTTAGAGGTTTAAGGTTTTTAAGGGTTTAGGGGCTTAGGGTTTAGGGGCTTGGTGTTTCGGGCTTTGGGGTGCGAGCATGGAGCTGAAGTATCCTAAACCCTGCCCGGGAAGCTAAAACCATAAGTTGGTCGTCAGTCACATCCGCACCCTAAACCCTAAACCCTAAACCCTAAACCCTAAACCCTAAACCCTAAACCATTCCGTTGCAAACCGTCTTTCAGCTGCATCTGAAGTCCTAGGGCTCCAGTGGACTCCAGGGGTCTATACTGTTGATGATATAAATCCTGCATTACCCGTAATAAGGAATATACCATAAATCATCAACAGTAGTACAGGGTTAGTAACCTACTATTTAGGTAACTGGAGCGCTAGGGAAGTGCTTGCAACACGAAAAGAGTAACAGTACTGGCAGCCACATAAGCGATCTGACAATGAAATCCTGGAAAAGGCCCACTTGGAGGTTCATGGGCAGTCAGAAGTAGGGTTATAAGTAGGGTAACTATACTTATAACCCATATTTTGGGACTTTTAATCCTACTTATAGCTACCCCTGAACCTTCAAGTACTGGCATCAACCCTGTGACATGGCCCAGCCAGAATGCGCGAGAATGCCAGCCGCCGCGTCCATGCATCGGAGCTTTGAATCCTGCATGGAGAAGTCCAAGGTATAGGCATTCGCAATGGGGGGAGGGGCGGGGGTGAAGGGCCTGGGGTCAAAGTAATTATCGTATAATTGCTTGAGCTGGAGTTTATTAAACTCGCCGCTGCTTAGATGCATTTGCAGGGTCGAGATAGGGATCAGGCTGCAGCAATTACAGGATTACAGGCTTAGGATTGGGAAACAGAGTTCAATAGGGCCGAAAACCAAAAGACACCTCTGAATCGTTCTGCCTGTCTCTCTCTCTCTCTCTTTCTCTCTCTTGCTCCCTCATCCTCTCTTTTTGGACATCCGCATGCTAAGCAGACTACAAACTGCCGGTCTCGCATCGAGAGAGCTCTCATGAAGACCTCGTCTACCTAAGCCCTCTATACGTCGTAAACAGACAAGACAGCACCCTGCTGCACTTCTCCTCCGCACTGGCGCATGCCAAAGCGCCATCGAGCACAACGAGAAGCGCCTCTGAAGTACGTCTATGAGATGTAGGCCTAGCTTCAGAAAATCCCTTAAATGTTAGATCAGGTGCAATCACAGGCGAATGAGAGTCCCGTGCTTCCCTAAACAAAAAAATAAAAAGAAAAAAATACACAACACCCCGGAACCAAAGTCCTACATGCTACTGCCAACCCGTATCCCCTGATAGCAAGCCTAAGGCCTGTAAAGACAGGGGCGTAAATCTGGGTCTAGGCTACTGCACTTCGTCAAGGGGTAGAGAGTGCCGACCCGTAGTGCAGAGCACTTCCTCAGATGAGCCGACTGTACCCTATTCCCCCAAGTTCCTCATAATCATAACTCTGGATTCACCAGCATCGCAAGCCCGGTCGACGCTTAAACCCCAGCTAGCTCTAGACCTTGGACGTTAATTATCCAAGACATGAAAGCGCGGAAATCTGCACAAGTAAGGAAGCTTGCAGCAGGAGCTGAGTGAGAATTAGGGGTTTAGGGCTTAGGGTTTAGGGTTTAGGGCATCATCCCACTTCGGCCCAGGGTTCGGAATTCAGGGCTTATACTTATACTGTCCCTCTCGTCCGACATGCGGATGGTCAGCCTAAACTCTAGACAAGAACAGCTCCGCACAAATCACGACACAATACATCCAAGTTCGTCCAGTCTGTACCCAGACTCAAGATACATCTGAACTCCGAATAACCTACCATTTTAAGGGCTTATAAGGAAGGAGCCCTACAAAGGTAGGGTCCAGGTACACTATACTTATTCGAGCCGGACAACACTCTGAACACACTACAGAGTACCCAGAGGCTCCAAAGTAGTTCCTTTTTAAGGTTACCTTATAGGATTCTAAATATGAACCCGAAAAAAGAACTACTATGGAGCCTTAGGGTAGAATCTACCTCAACCCTGCACTCCGATGCCTAATTACGACAAGCAAGAGCCCGAATCTCCAAACCCTAAGCCCTGAACGCCGAACCCGGAACCCGAACCCCAAATTTCCCCAAAACACTAAACTTGAAGGTCTTTGGCTCAGAGCCCTGCCTGACGTTGCTGGCCGGGTAGACCTCAACATAGAATACATACTTTCGTACACGACATGTATATATATAGAATATAAGTATCAATAAAGATAGACATTTATGTATACATACACTGAACATATCCATCAATCTAGCTATCTAACTATCTATCTGTGAATCTCGCTATCTGGCTATCTATCTATACATGTATATGCAGGGCTGTATACATACAAACACCTGTTATAGTATATACTCAATGTTAAAGACCATGTCAGCTAAATGTTCCAGAAGATGTAACCAAGAGTTTACATTGTACATACAATAGCACAATAGGTAAGATACGGCATAGAGTATAAACACACGGAGCATTGAAACTCGCATATATATATATATATATATATATATATATGTATATATATATATGTATTGTAAACGGAAAACAGCAATTATGGAAAATCATACAGTATATAAAACGGAACTACATGATAGTGTACAACATACAGTATGTAATCGTTCTATAAAAAAGAAGAATAATCAATATGTAATATGAATATACATAGACAGTATATTATGAAGAATACTGAGAGCCTAGTAACACAAGCTGAGAATCTAATACATGTTTTAGTGTATAATGTACAATCTGTAGCCTGGAATCTATCGTATACAATACGGATCTCCAGTCCCAGATAATGTCAGGGCATGAACCAGTAGGAGGGAGGCGTTGGGGGCATGTTGTAGTAATATTTCTTAGCAAAGACCTGGAAGGGAACTGCCGCGAGGAACTCTGACGAATTCTTTATACAACTTCAAAACACAACGATCATTTCAGTGGCCTTGGGCCCTCATCGTCCCATGCACAATCCCAATCAAAGGATCCAATCGATGCCCGGTAGCCTGAAACCGGACACCCTGAGCCCTCAACCCTCAACATCACTCCTCTCCACCAAATACCTCAGAATGCATAAATAAATCTGAATCCGGCAACGATCTCCCGAATTGAGAATTTGGCTCTTGGGTTTGGGGTCGACGGTTCAAGCAATAGGGGTTCTGGGCTTTGTGCGCTTTGCGGCTACAGTATTTGTTTGGTGTGTCGAGGCCGTACTCAGCGACTCGCATCAGAATGCTTCAAAACCAAGGGCACCATGGGATTCGAAGTGTTTCTACCCAAGGAGCGTCACTTAAAAAGCACACCCGAACCCTAGCTGAGTGGCTTTCAGCCTCATGCTCTGGCTGAGCTCTGAACTTGGCACAGGTCGAGCAGCCCCATCGCCCTCACCCACGAGACACAAATCCTCAGCAATTTGATGACGAGAGTAGCTTTCCTTTAAGGTGTCGGTGTTCAACATGGGTTATTACAGCTGGCAGAGTCCACGTTCACATGGTCCTTTAGCGAGGATGGTAGTCCCGAAGTCTTCTCGAACCCGGAAGCCGAACTAAAGAGCTTGAAGCCTGAACCCTGCTTCCCAAAATCCTAAACTTGCTCCCCAACTTGCTGAAGCTTTTGCACTGCCGCTCACTTGCCCTAACCGACTGTATAATTGGGTACCTGGACCCGTACATTCTAAAGCCCGAAACCGTAGGCCCCAAGTTCCCGAAATCCACAAGCAAATCCTTAACCCCTCGTTGTCTCAGTAGTTCGCGGAATTTCTCTGGACCCCAAATAACCACCCTTTTTGGGGGTCCCTTGTTATGACTTCCGTTTCACATAGGTTTTGTAGCGCTGACCAAAGGTCCGCCAGGGCAGCCCAGCACTGCAGAGGGGCGGCTCGTCGCCACAGTGCCTGGGGAACTTTAGTCGGACTTGGGGCTTAGGGTTTAGGGTTTAGGGTTTGGGGTTTAGGGTTTAAGGGAAACTAGAGCACAGTGGAAAATGCAATACTGAGCCGTAACATACCATCTAAGGTACTATCATAGACTTTAGCTACAATATACTCAGACATGCTGATCTACAACATAACTTATTTTTTGCTATATGACATATCTTGCCATGCAGCAGAGGTCCCAGTCCAGAGCATATGTGGGACCTAGGATCTATAACGCTCCAATGGCGTCTGTCCATCCTTAATGGGCTTTTCATGAGCTCTCGAAAGATGTTTGTGCAGTTTACTATATACTTCTAACAATAATCCGAATCCCGAAGCCATAGAGCCTAAACTGTGAGGTTCAGGGTAGGTGGTCCTTTGCGATCTCAGGCATCGAAAACAGGGGACTGAGTGCATAGAAGCGGTGTCCTTTAAAAGATCCTTTGAGGGGTTAGATCAAACAAAAAGCCAAGTAGAGTTATGGGCTTGAATGGGCAGATTGGCATCTCCGAAAGGGTCACTACATAACCTTTCCTTGACTACACTTGGGCACTTATCCTTTCGCACGGTAGCTGCCTAGACCCTCTCAACCAAACTCGTAGCCCTAAGCCCTCAACCCTATATTGGCCCTATATAGAAGCCTTAGAAGAACCCTATAAATTCAATTCGACACGCGCCTGCACAAACCGGCGACCCAGGTGGAGTTGCCCATCGCTGAGGTAGGAGCTGAGGAAATCGGCCAGCGAGATCAAGCCATGCCTATGCTCGGAACCGCTTTGGGGCTTGGGTTTAGGGTTTTAGGAAGTTTAGGGTCTACCTTGGCTACTGCCCCCATACAGAAACAGTCTATAATAGGGCTAATATTATATAAGGTCCTAACATATTTGTATTATGAATCTTATCCAATTAACTGTTACTGAGTGGGGGCAGTTCCCAAGGTCTACCGATAGTCTCGATGGTCCGTCTTCATAGACGCAGACAGCATCTTCGTGAGGAAACGTGTGATGCACGATGTTCAGTTGCTGAAAGTGTTCCTTCCAATCAGCCGGGCCGCCATCGATTTCGGGGAGAGCGTGCATGCTGACGACCAGATCGATGTTCTTTGCTCTGAGGGCGTCTGCGTCCGCTGCGCTCCGCAGGGTTCCCAGTCTGAGGACCAGACGTCTGCCCGAATATACCGGGGCATCGTCGAAGCGCGGCCACCACCTAATGCTTTCTGTGCAAGAGTGCCGCGGCCAGTCCGTCTTCAGGCGCGTCCATTCCTCCTCCAGTCTGAGATCATTATCTGTCCAGCAACCGCGATCTTCGAAGCGCCTCTCAATACGAAGCGATATGGCCAACCATCTGTTGTAGCGTGCGCGCGATGCCGGAGATGCTTGAGGCATGTAGATGATGGCAGCCGCCGGCAGTGACATTGTGTGTCGGCGAAAGCTAGAAAGCTTTATTAATTCTAGACAACACCATGATATCTTAGAAGACAAGAATATAAAGGTCGCACATAGCCCAGGTGCAGCTATGTGTGGTTATTTTATCTGCGAGGAAATGTTCTGGTTGTATTGGGGCATATCGGGAGACTCTCAGGGCAGTTCGAGTTTGCGTTCGTGGGCTAACTAATTTTATGGTTAGGATACTCTACTACATATGTGGTTAAATTATATACAATGGAGACTATACGTAGGGAATCTGGGCCTTTAGGGTCTGTAGAGTTTTCGGGTTCAAGTTTGGGGTTCAGGGTTTTGGGGCTTACTGGGCTGTTTTTGGATAACCATTAATAGCCACGTTTCTTTCCTTCGCAACACGTACTAACCCCTAAACCCTAAACCCCTTAACCCTAAACCCCTAAACCCTAAACGCCTAAACCCTATACCCCTGAACCCTAAACCCCTAAACCCAAACCCCCTAAACCCCTAAACCCTAAACTCCTAAACCCTAAACCCCTAAACACCCAGACCCTAAACCCTAAACCCTAAACCCCTGAACTCTAAACCCTAAACCCCTAAACCCTAAACCCCTAAACCCTAAACTCTAAATCCTAAACCCCTACAACCCCTAAAACCCCTAAACCCTAAACCCCTAAACCCCTGAACTCTAAACCCTAAACCCCTAAACCCTAAACCCCTAACCCCTAAACTCTAAACCCTAAACCCCTGAACCTCTGAACCCTAAACCCTAAACCCCTAAACCCTAAACTCCTAACCCCTAAACCCCTAAACCCCTAAACCCTAAACCCTAAACAACCAAAACTAAGCATACATTAGTAGGAGCCCAGGAGCCACCTAGCTGGGCGTTCGGGACCCAGGAGAGCCAAACACGCCGTCTGTTGATGTTCGGCTTGTGGCTGCTAAAAACTGTTTAGGGCTTGGTTTAGGGTTTAGGATTTTATAGAACCCTTAAGGCTTGGTTTAGGGTTTAAGGTTTTATAAAACACTTAAGGCTTGGTTTAGGCTTTAGGGTTTAAGGATTAACGATGAGTCATCCAATTTACACAGAGTGCCCAACACCCCCTGCTCAGCGAATCTCCCTTAACTCATCTTCAGAAGACCTCCCCACAATCCCGCCCTCCTATGAAAAGCCTCATTATACAACTCTAAGACAAAGGCTACCTATATTCTCCATTGTAGTTCCTTTTTTTGGTTAACCGGTTTTATGGTTCGGATCCTACAATAGGGATTTTGGTTAACCAAAAAAAGGAACTACAATGGAGACTATAGGTACCATTTTCTTGCTGTGGACTCCGAGCATAAGGTTGGTGTAGTGCACGATTCTGGGCATGACGACGTTTGGGCTGAAGCTGCTAAGCTTGATGAGACTGTCACCCCGATGCCTTTCTCAGGATACCTAGAGGGTCATACCCTACCCCTTGTTTAGGGTACCTAGTTTTATGGTTAGGTTCTCTTATATATATATATATAGAGAGAGAGAGAGAGAGAGAGAGAGAGAGAGAGAGAAGAAAAGAGGAAAACAGGGGTAGGGTATGACCCTATAGGTACACCATCACAGCTTTGCCGTCATTTTCCAGAGCGCTCCGGAAAACCCCAAACCTCTGAAGGCGCAAACCTATGCCCTGCATTCCGGATGCAGCCGGAGGGCTCTGCCTCGAAATGTCGCTCCACCGGATCCTACTCGGCTGCGCTTGAAGTTTAGGGGTTTTAGGGGGTTTAGGGTTTAGGGTTTTAGGGGGTTTAGGGTTTAGATGTTTAGAAACCTTCGTACTTTTGGATGTTGGGCCAGGGTTGAGAGAGCTTTAGACTTCAAGGGAACCCTGAAGAGCAAACTTATTTACTGCTCAGGTCCTTGTAGACTAACTAGGTAAGAGTCAACGATGTCGGGCTGAGTGCAGCTCGGGAGATGGAACTACTAGGGTTCCACGAGCTGGGACTTGACTTTAGATCTGACTGACCCTGCATTCCCCTCAAAATTTCCTCTGACAACATCTAACGTGCGACATAAAGAGGTAATATTGGGACCTTGATATTCGAACAGGCGTTTGGGAAAAGTTGTAGTACAAGTCCACAGGGACTAAAGGGGGCTGTTATTACAAATCACTCACACCTCTATGTAGTTGCTGTTGGTTGTTGTCTTTGGATTTCCGCATGAAAGGCCTGGAGAGCGAGATAAAGAACCCGAACCTCCAAACCGACCAAGGTACGCTCCGACCTTCCACTTGCTAGCAAGCTCCAAGCCCTGCATCTATTTGGAGGGCCATGGGACCTAGTAGTAAGTATACTCCGGGGTAAGAAGTAGTTATATGTGTAGTTACCCGAAAACTGTCCGTAGTTGTCAAACTCCGTGATCCTTTGGGTACCAGGAAGCTCATGCATAAAGCACTCCACTCAGCGGGCTTCAAATCCAAATTTCGCCTTTAGACTTTAGAGTTTGGGATACCCAGAATCTCGTCTCTGTTGCAATGCCTACTGTAGATACCTGGAAATGTATCGAACATCTTCAAAGAGCAGCTGAGGGGGGTGGCAAAATTAAGACTCAGGGTTCTTGCAATCTGAACTCCTTTCAGAGCCAAACCCAAGGCTCAAGAGGTTAGTGTTGTGGTTTAGTGGTTTCGGTTTAGGGTTTAGGGTTTGGAGATTAAGGTTTAGGGGGACGCTGACTTTCAAGGATACTGATCAAACCCTAAACCCTACACTTGTTAAAGGTTTCATGCTTTGGAGCTTTCCTGATTGCTCTCTCCTCCTGTTGCCCTCGGAGTCTAGCCGGATGGTGGGCTGGGCCACGCTCCGGGCTGTGCCGTACTCGCCGGCTTGCACCCTGCCCAGCAGCTCTTTGACCCGGTCCGGCTCCACGGCGTGATACCCGGATTCACCGCTAAGAGATAGGTTGGTCATGATATTTCAAACGGCAGAAGCCCCAGAATTCGGCTGGCTGCCAACCCCCCCCCCCCCCGTCCGCCTGGATAGGTTGCTCGGCAACACTCGGCTTGGCTTCTTTTTGCCCGCATATCAACGTGGGCAGTTGCAGAGAACACGGACTCCTGGAGCTCGCTAGCCACCTTCCAACTGGAAAAGCTCGTGGCTGCAGCTGATGGGGCGCACCGCCATGGTCCGAACACTCACACCGCTGAGCCTTCTCATTCAACTTGTAACCCTAAGCCCTACCCTAGATAAACCTAAACTTTGAACCCAAAATCCTAAACCCTAAGCCCTACCCTACCTACACCCCAAGACTTTAAACCCAAAGCCCTAAACGCTAAACCCGAAGCCCTACCCTAACTAAACCCTGAACCCTTTAAACCCAAAACCCTGAAGCCCAAGCCCTACCTTAACCCGGAATAACCTACCTCTTTAAGGGCTTATATAAGGAAATCATATTAGGGAACCCTAAAAAGGTAGGTTATTCCGGCTTAAGGTACCCCTAAACCCTAAACCCTAAAACCCTAGACCCTAACTATTAGGGCCCCTATACTAAACCCCCATAATACCCCTTATAGTAACCCTAAAAAGGTGGGTTCCTTAGGGCCCAGGTAAGCGACGCAGTCCTTCGAAGCCTGGGCCGCCTCATCCCGGCCCACTTGGAGGTTCACCGGTAGTTTTAAGGGTTTAGGGGTTCAGGGTTTAGGATTGGGGGCTTAGGGGTTTAGGGGTTTAGGGGTTCAGGGTTTAGGGTTGAGGGTTGAGGGGTTTAGGGGTTTAGGGTTTAGGGGTTCAGGGGTTGAGGGATTTAGGGATTCAGGGTTTAGGGTAGTTTTACGGGTTCAGCCCTAAGGGTCCAAACGGTTGATGATATAAATCCTGCACTACCTTAAGGACCCTAAGCTATGGGAATTATGGTATATTCCTTATTATGGGTAATGCAGGATTTGTATCATGAACCGAAGGACCCGACAATTGGGTCCTTAGGTTTCGGATAGTAGTTATGTAGGTTACCATTTGGGGAGTATATCATTATCGGACCCTTAGGGTTCAGGGTTTAGGGGTTTAGGGGTTGGGTGCTTATACCTGGGGTGATAAGTCCTGCGGCAGTAAGGGTTATCCGCATCGGCCTCCGAACATGGATTATGACGAGGGTTATCCTATGCTTATAACCCCGCTTACCCTAGACCTCTAAGGACTCGTATATTAAGGCTCTTGGGCCCAAAGACCATACTATACAAGGCTTTTGGGCTGTTTTGTTCCCTAGGGTTATAGCTAACCAAGAGCCTTCGGCCCAGAGAGGGGTTGTAGTCTAGGGCCCAGGGGAATGTAAGGGGTGCTTGTGGGATCTTGGGCTGCTTGTGGTTTAGGGTTTAAGGCTTTAGGGTTTAGGGTTTAGGGTTTAAGGCTTTAGGGTTTAGGGTATAGGGTTTAGGCTTTAGGGTTTAGGGTTTAGGCTTTAGGGTTTAGGGTTTAGGGTTTAGGGGCTCGCAGTGAAAACAGAAAGGTGGAACATGATGATATGGGACGACTCATACTGGGATCCACTAACTTTGTCTTCAAAGCACGAGGATAATGATCTTCCAACCTTCTGGCTTCTACTGTAAGGGTTTCGGGATAAGGGTCCCAGGGCGTTAGGATTTAGAGTTTCTTCTTTTGGGCTTGAGGTGTCTTCGGTGTTCCTCACATGAGAGAATATGTGTTTTTTTGGCGTCCGTGTTTGTACCTGGGTATGTATTCACGCCTGTATGTCTAGATGTATGTATGCCCGCACGAGTACCAAAAATGAGTGACGAAATACGGGAATGCATGACAAACTACCGAAAGACAAGATAAATTCATCTATGGGAGTTTCCGGAAATCAGTGCTACTTACTTTGGGTCCATATAATGCGGATCCTATTACTTAGGGTTATAGACTAGGGTCCCCTATTTTCGGAAATCCCCATATAGAGAGAAATTAGCTGGCTGGCTAGCTAGCTGGATTGACTGATTGATTGGTTGTTTGATTCCTCTGGGCCCCCTACAGTATTCACGCAGACACTGGCACCCCGGCGATGCGAACCCCTGAATGGGGAACTCCATGAGGCCATGTATCATTATCTTGTGGTCTTCTCGCACCGGAAGCAAGAGGCCCAGTAAAAGCTAAATCCCAGGAACCTAGATGGAAATCTCCATCCCGAAGCCCCTCTTATATGGCCGCTTGTGCTTAGGATAGGGTCTTGGGGCATATTGTAATAAAAACGTACATGGGTAGTTGTCAAAATTATGGCCCCTTTTTGAGTACCCTAAATATTAGGTTCCGGATTATAATTGGGACCCAAAGAGGAATCATAATTTTGACAACCACCCACATGAACTGCCAGGGCAAATACTTACTAAATAAGTGTTCAGACCTCGAACATGAAACCCGGATGGGACCTCTTCATGCTCGCTTGGCGGAGGCTTCGTAGCAGTCCCCAGGCCTTTGGACCAGGTCTCGGGCGCATGCGTTCAAAAGCCACCCTAAGGGTCCATGTACCCAAATAGTATATACTTTGGCCCCAATGTACCTATGTAGGGACTACTTTAAGGCCAAAGTATACACTATTTTGGTACATGGACCCTTAGGGCTGGCTAAACACAGAACCCATGAAATCAAAAACCTTAGATGGGGGCTCCGCTTGGAGGTTCATGGCAAGTGATTCCCAGGGAGATAGTATCGTAGGTAGATGTACCAGTAGAAACACTATGAGTTAACTGGAGGAACTAAGCCGATGCTTCTAAACCCTAAACCCTAAACCCCTAAATCCCTAAACCCCTAAACCCCTAAACCCCTAAACCCCTAAACCCTCTTCAGAAAATCTGCGGCCATTCTGCGAAGGTTTCTTGTCAGATCTTAGCACCTTGGCGCTCGGAGGGTTGTGTACTCTGAGCTGTCTGCTGCCTATGAAAAGCAGGTTACCCAAAGGCCGCCAAGTAGTTCCTTTTGGGGGCTCATATTTAGAATCCTATAGGGTAGTCCCAAAAAGGAACTACTTTGGGGCCTCTGGGTACCTAAATAGTAGGTTACTAACCGCATGTTACGTAACGCAGTCACCCCGTGAGCCCCTGCGATTGGGACTTGAAGAAGGAGCGCGCCGAGCATTTTTCTACAATTTAGCGGCCCATGTGGCCAACATTGAAGACTATGACACTGCGTATCTATAACTATGAGGCATTGGTGCTTTGGCAAGAGCTCAGCAGAGGGATCTTGATTCACAGAACACCCCCCTCCCCCCCCGTCCCAATAATAAGAGTGCCACGGGCGCACGGTCCTGAAACCCAAACCTGAACGACCAAACCTCTGATGCAAGTCTGCCCTTACTCGTACCTAACGCTGCTCCCCGCACTGTGGGTGGAACTTCGGTTCAGAGGATAAGGTACATACCCCTAAGACAGACCTTACATGTAAGAATCTCAACAACGGAGCTTGAAGCAACTTTAAGGAACCTCCAGATCGAAACAGACAATGTAGGAGCCGTAATATTTAGCATAGGGTTGGGGGTATATTATATCAAAAATATAATAAGGAGCCCCCACAACCCTATTCTAATTAGTAAGTCCCCTAATTCTCCAATCCCTTATACTACCCTTATAGTATCCCTTAAAGGGACCCGTTAAAGGGAACCTTATTCTAGGCCCCTAAATTGGGGTGCGGGGCAGCCTTCCGGATGCATTCAGGGGGCGCAACATGCACAGACGACCTATTCCCCAAGAGTCCATGTGCTCAAAACGGGGTCCTGTAAGGGTTACTTTAAGGGTTACTTGTTCCTAGAAGGGTTCAGGGTCTAAGGGTTTGTGTGCCCAAACAGTATATACTTTGGCCCCAAAGCAGCTATATAGGGACTACTTTCAGGCCAAAGTATGTACTATTCGGGTACGAGGACCCTTAGCGATTGCTAAGTAATGCGCAAACGCACAAGACAAGGGTACACAAGGTGCACACACATATGCCCATAGACAAGATCAATATCGCTGCATCTGAGACCCTGCACACTAAACCTCCTGAATTCGCCTTTTTGTTCACAGCACCCCCGACACATGAACTAAACTCGAAACACGAAACACTAAACCACAAAACCCTAAAACCCTGCAGATTCAGATCTATCATAGAAGATCAACCCCTAAGGCATGATAGACTCTGAAATTGTAAAATGAACCCCCCCCAAAGCCTCCAAACTCGATCAAATCCTGTCGAAACCTTGACGTGACTAACAGGAACCTTCTGAAGTATCCCTTAACAGTATCATTGAAGGAACTCGCATATGGATCCCTCCCAGCCATCAACTCGTTGCCGCCTGGCTCCGGCAGGAGGTGCTCATCCACGAAGAGAGCCGACTCGACGCGGCACATGAAGTGGCTGTCCTTGCATCTGCTACCATGTGATATGCTAAGATGTGAACAAACAAATATAAACACATGTGTACATATATATATATATATGTATATGTATATATTATACATGTACATATATCTATATATATATATATGTGTGTGTAGAGCAAAATTAGGGTCCCTTTTTGGGTCCTTATTATAATAGAGGGTACCCAAAAAGGGACCCCAATTCTGACAACCACCCATGTGTACTGCTAGGGTATTTATTGCATGCATGCATACATGTTCTATGCTGTATAGATATAAAGATGTACAGATATGCAGACATATCGATCTATAGATCTATGCAAACACATAGTCTTAGGCTGTAACGGGGTATAGGGAACAGTATCTCACCGGAGAAGACACTGGGCTTCTAAGGCTTCTAGGATATTGCGTCGGAGGTCTTGGCAATTGAAAACGAACTGGGAGAAGCTTCTGCAGCTGGTGAGAATCTCAGCCCGATGCGCTGTAATCCTGAACCTGTCACCGCTTGAGGTCCTCGGAACAGAGCACCCAACACCCTCCAGGCCAAGCCCTAACCTCTACAAACCCTCGGGAATGGGGCCTGGGCAATCATCACCCTTATCAGTAACAGACAAACCCAATGCTCCCCGAACCGAACATCGTTCCGTGATGCTCAGCCGCGCTGACGACGTGAAGAAATTCACCCGAGACCCTCGCAGCCCGAACGCGCAAAAGAACCAAACAGGACACGTCGCGGGAGCGATCAAGCAAAGGCGTGCCACGACTGAAAAGGCATCATCGGAGAGTTGGGAAGCCAAAGCCTCATGCCTGCGGAACATGGCAAACAGTTTGAGTTTTGTTTGCACTAAGCCCAATCATTCCCTAAACACTAACGCAAGCTAGACCTAAAATTCGATGGCCCTAAACACGAAACCCCAACACTGAACCCCGAAAATCTCTATGACACATACCTCTAAACCGTACCGATACAAATCTTCCACAAGCACACATATGCTCTATGCCTATCAGAGGATCACCTCTTGCTGTGCTATCTCCTAGCTCTCCAGGTCTTGTCTACAGGTCCCTGGGCATGGCCAAGTGTTTGAGGATTTGGGGGTTTAGGGGTGTAGGGTTTAGGATTTAGGGTATCTGTGCCTAAGGGTCCATGTATATATATATATATATATATACAGGGTTTCTTTAAGGGTCACTGTAAGGGCTCTATAGCGTTCAGGATGTAAGGGTCCATGCACCCAAATAGTGTCTACTTTGGCCTTAAAGTTGTCCTTATATACTTATATGGGATATGTTTGAGGCTTTGCATTAACCCCACATAACCTACTTATTCAAGGACTTCTATACTTATACAATGAAAATTAAGGAGCCCTAATTGGCAAGTTTCTGAGCATGCAGGTAAGGTATCTGCTGTATGGTCACAGGGAAAAGAGGTGTCCGTTTGAATCTGCGGCAACAGAATGATTTTCGATGCGCCCTGAGAAAGAGCTCCTATTCACGGACTTTACCGGGAAAGCACAGGATACGGTAGCATATGATAGGCGTAGGTTTTGAGGCTTTGGTCGAACACCATAGACCCTACATCCTAAGCCCTTAGATCCTAAAGACAGACACTAACCCATAATCTGCTATTAAACTGTCAATGTGCCTCAAAGCATGCACGGCGCTCGCGGCGACGCGGGGATCGACATCCTGGCTTGGGGCGACAATACTCTTCTGCGCAACCCCAACATTTGGCTTCTCCCATCGGTGTTATCTGTCTGAGACTGGTCATGCCTGGAAGTTAAGACTTGACCAGTCCAGCGATATCAGCTTCTACCAGTACCTTAACGATCAATCCAATTAACCCTAAACACGGAACACCCGAACGTGCAAACGCCTAAACCCTTAAACCCTGAGCCCACAAAAAAGCCACACCCTAAACCCCAAATCCCTAAATCCCTACCGAAAACCCAGGTCCCCCCCAAAAAAAAGCTGCAGGCCTGAACTTGCCGGCTCACGAACCCAAAGACTCCAATATCCCTTAATTAAGGAATATTCCTTGAATTATGGTAGGATCCCTAACATAATTTAAGGAATATTCCTTAATTAAAGGATATTGGAGTCTCTGGGAAGTCTCAACAGAAATCCTACACAAATCCGTAGCCTCGCATCTCTAGCTTGCAGCAAAAGCAGCTCCAAATATGGGAGTTTCCGAAAAGAAGGGGTGCCTTACTTTGGGGTCCTTATAAAAAAAAGATCCCACTATTTAGGGTACTATATTATTAGGGTCCCCTATTTTCGGAAACTCCCAAACAGAAACCCCGCACACGCACATCCCAAAAGCCTACAGAATTCGTCATAGATCCGGTACTTTCAGTTCTTACTCTAAGGCCCCAAAGTAGCTCCATTTTGGGATTCATATTTAGAATTCTATAAGGTAACCCCAAAAAGAACTACTTTGGGGCCTATGGGTAACCGTGAACTCCATGCGCAAAGTATCACTCTGCAGTGCTCGGGCGCCTCTGCGCGCTCGGCCAGGAGATTGGCAACCTCGTTCAACTCTAGGGTATTAGTCTTAGTACTATTTTAAGAAGGCTTCTTTAAGGGATCTATAGCGTCAGGAGTTTTAGGGTTTAGGTTTTGCGGCTTTGCGGGTTGATTTGGAGTTTCAGGAGTTTGGGGTTTAGGGTTTAGGGGGAGTTTAGGGGTTTAAGGATTCAGGGTTTAGGGGTGCTAAGTTTCGGGGTTTCCGGTCGAGCATCTCAGCTTGTTTTAAATTGGTCTCCGCCACGGACATGGCATCGCGAGAAACATAACTAGCCTGCTGCCCTTTTGCTAAAGCGGAACTATTGGGGGTTCCGTCTTACGCTAACCTCGGGAAGGCAGAACGAACACCCTATATACATCAAAGTACCAGAGAGATATGCTCTTCTGAGCCCAACTCCCTAAGGGTCCATGTACCCATATAGCCTATACATCGGGCCCAATGTACCTATATAGGGAGTACTTTAGGGCCAATGTATATACTATATGAATACATGGACCCTTAGGGACTCATGCTTTTTCTGACTCGCTTCGGCCTTGGAGTTGATGTTGGAAGCTTCAGTTCGTGTTCAGTTCAGCCCCGTGGCTCAACACAAGGAGCCCAAGCGAGGCCCGAAAAAACTGAGAAGAGTTTAGCGCTCTGGTCCGGGCCTTTGGCTTACGGGCTTAGGGTGTCTTAGCCTTACGAAGTTCAATTTTATGGTTTAGGGTCTATACCAGTAAGTGCGTGGGTCTACTTTTTTTCATTCCGAGGAAAATATCTAGAATTTTTTAATTTGGTTTACTTTTCCCGCTGGATTACTTTTTTGTGTTCGAGGGTTTGGTTTACTTTTCCCGCTGGGGCGTTTTATGCTTCGTGTCTGTGAGGGTGCATTTCAGATTCCAGGGTCATTCCGGCTGGGTTTGATTGAGTTTATGTATGTATATATATATATATATATGCATAAATTAGGGGCCATAATCGCTGAGGTGGCTGCGCAATCCGCCGCATTGTCTCAGCTTCGGCTGCAAGAAGAGAGGTGAACCCAAACCCTTAAAATATACTAAAGATCAGCCATTCTAGCCCTTATGAATGAGTTTAAAGTTATATATTTATATAGCTTTGTCTGAGGCTGTAACAGCGGTTCTGAACCCTATAGAAGCCCGATATAGCCCTTTCTGAGCCTGTAACAGCCGTTCGGAAGACTATGGAAGCCCTGAAATATTGAAACCTGTACAAACCCCTTAGAAGATCTTCTATGTATATAGACCTTAATATATAAAAAAAAAGCCTGAATATACAGGGGGTCCGTTCCCCCTGTATATGGCTCCAAATATATTTAGTCTCCTATATAGAGCTCTCATAAACTGGACAGACTTACATAGCAAAGCCGCACCGAAGCCTAATTAGTCGTCGGCATGCTGGTCATGGCCGAGAGAATTCAGAATTCAGACGTTTGGAGGTGCGCCCTCCCCCATGCTTGCTGTGGTGCAGTCAGTCCTTGTGGCGCTTGATTTGCTAAATGGGTTGCTGCCTTGGTTGACAAACTCCAGTTTGCAGCTGTTCTCCTCACAGCTGGCATGCTCAGGTACAAGTTGCAGCAGCATGTATAGACAAGCAGTTAGCTAGTTTCGAGCAATGCGGTGACAATTCGAGTTTCGGAGTGCTGAGTTGAGGGATGTGGTGCTAGTTCGACTTTGCAGTGTCATAGTGCAGTGCTCCTTTGAAGGACCATGGCTAAATTCGCTTCCCTGGAAAACCTCCATACCGCATGGCTGCGGGACAGGGAGATCGCTCAACGGCTGGATGCCGGAGGGCGTTTGGTTCGGTCCTATGATGGGCTCTTTGTCAGTGCTTCTGAATTGCATTGTGTGCATAACAAAGCCTTGCTGACTCCATACATGATTCGGCAACGCCGAGAGAAAACCCTTGACATTCCAGATGTTGAGTCGTTGAAATCAGAGTTGAAGGCTTTGTATCAGGCCCGGCTTGCACAGAAGGAGAAGCATGGGAAGAAACAGCCAAAGGCTGTGCTTGAAGCCAGCATGGCTTTGGTTGAAGGAAATTGCCATCTTGATGCCAAGACCATGAAACGCCTTCTGTCTTATGCTCGGGCTCGGTTCTTGAAGCAGGGTGCAAAGGTTAAAGAGACTTTCCTGCAATACTGTTTCGAGTGTAGTGTTGAGCTATATGCTGCTGGATCATCGTTGCTGTTTTTGATGCCCAGAATCCGGACTTCGCCATTCTGCTGAGCTACTGGGGCGATGAAGATTCTTGCCTGCAACACCATGGTTGAAGGAGTGCATTGTCAATGTCCTTGCAGTGTAGGCAGCATGCAGTTCATGAACAAATATCATGTAAGGACAAGTATCCAAAGGGCGGAAAGTGCACCCGTTGGAGTTGCAAAGAGGTTGAAGCTCGGGCTGAGGAGGACGAAGCCGCAGGCCTTCATGATGCAATGCAAGAGGGTTATGAAGGAGAGGAGGAGGAGGATTGGGAAAATGATGAGGTGGTTGAGCCTCCATGTGTGGAGGAAAGCCATGCAGAGAAGCCACCCAGCAAGCCCGTGCAAAGCGATGGAGAGAAGCCCCCCAGCGAGCCCATGCAAAGCAATGCAGAGAAGCCCCCCAGCGAGCCCGTGCAAAGCCATGCAGAGAAGCCGCCCAGCAAGCCCATGCAAAGCCATGAGAAGCCTGGTGTCATTCATACTGACAGTTCGAGGTCCATTGGTAGTTTGGCAAGCAGTGCATCGCTGGCGACGACGGTTCTAGAGACTCCAGATCCCAAGCACAAGTGCTTTTCAGAAGCAGGTAATGGGCAGATCACGCCATCCCCTCCCTCGTTGCCTGTGCTCGTCAAGGAGGTGTTGCTGGTGGTAGACTCACCTAAAAAGGTCATTAAGCAGGAGCCCGTGGACAAGACCCTGGCTGATGTTTTGGCTGAGACGGACGCCTTTGACCGAGAGGCAGCTTTGCGGGAGTTGGCGAAGCTTGAAGCAGAGCTGTTTCTGAGCTCATACTATGTCATGTTTGTGGATTCGTAGCCATGAGGTGCATGTGTTGACATGTATTTTGAACTTTATGGTTTGTCTTCGACTCATTACACAGCCAAGTTTACACTTGGAGACTTCGCGCGGGAAGCCGGATCCGAGCCAGATTTCCCGAACCTTGGATCTTGATGGGTGTTCTCGAAAGAAAGCTCATTTGGGTTCAGCTGATGTGAGAGCATGATGACAGTCTGATTTGTGTTAATTTGAGGACGTGAGCTCGCCTGGTCCAATGACAATGATGAGACGCAGGTGGCTACCGAGAGCCAGATCACGGAAGCAATGGCACAGGCTGCAAAGGACAGGACTCCTGAAAGGGTCCCGAGTGAGACTAGTCCAGCAACCAAGCGGGTCAGCCAGCTTTGTTAATCATCATGTGCAATACAAGGTCATTCAAAAGATTTGTAATCAAACAAGTCATTATTTTAGTGGGGGCTAACACTGGGACCCTACAACACTATATACAGAATACATACAAGGTTATGCTCGCATGGGGTATATTATGGTTTTAACTTTATATACATGCATTATATATACATGGCTTGGATGTTTTCTTACAAAGCCTGCTAGGGCTCCTTGGGACTACTGGTATAGCTGTTGTATACGTGTGTAGACTAGTTGTTGTATAAGTGCATGTGAAAAAAAGTGGTGTAGTGTGGTGCTTACTAGAATGAAAAAATTCATCATGTGTTGGACACGATGCTAGACATACCCAGGATGATATGGAGAAGGAGCCGGAGCTTGCAAGGGCCAAGGCGGTTGAATCTCTTGTGCCAGTTGTGCCTGATCCACCTGCCAAATGGCTGAATGTAGAACCATGTCATGTTACTGTGTTTCCTTGTGTTGACTGTGAATGCTGTGCTGTTTCTGAGCATCTCAGGTTGTGACTCGGGAGGACCAACTTTTAGCTCGGCAGCAGAGAAAAGCTGAGGCCGAGGCCAAGAAGCTGCAGCAGAAGAAAGATAAAGAAGAGAAGGAGCTGAAGAAGAAAGAGAAAGAAAATAATGCTCACAATGAAGAGATTGCAGATAAGAAGACTCGGAGGACAGCTGCTAAGAGCAAGGCCAAAAAACAGGCCGCTGAACCAAAGGAGCCTCCTGTGGCTGGGGATGAATGTGAGCAGGGAGCTGAGGGTGAGGAGCCCACGCCATCGGCCCCAGCCTGTGGTGGTGGAAGGGCCCGAGGTGGTGGCAGGGGTCGGGGCGGTAGGGGTCGGGGCGGCCGGGGCCAGAAGAGGGCAGCAAATCAAGAGCAGATCAACCCGACCCCTGTGAAGCGAGTCCGTGGAAAGCAAGCAGGCAAGGGAGCAGCAGGTGTTGCTGTGCCTGAGGAGGGGGATGCACAGCCTGCAAGGGCAGGCAAGAAGAACAAAGCTCCGGATGTGTGCGATGAGGAGCAGGCTGCAGGGCGACGCAAAAGGAGGAAGAGTGGCCTTGCCGAGACCCTCGAGCAAGGGAAGGCTTTGGCAAGGAGCAAGGCAGAGGCGCTAGCGCAGGGCGTTTCCCCAGAAGAGGAGGCATCTAGACCCAGATATGTTGTGGTTTTCGTTGTGTGTGCAGAGAGGATGAGAGATTCATTGCATGATGGATGTTGTGGTTCAATCAAGATATGTGTGCTCATATGTTGCCAAGGAAAAGACCCGTTGCAAGGGTCTCATCTTGAAGACCAATGGCACCCTGAACAATTACACTTTGATGGTTTATTGGTCACGGCCTGGTGTTGGCATCAAGAAGAATGCTGACTCGAAGCAGGCTGTTCAGTTCTATAGATTATATAATGTCAGGATGTGATTTTCGTTGTTTACTACGTCGTTTGTCTGGATTTGCCACGTGGTGCAGGTTTTCTACCTCGGGACGAAGGGTGTATCCGTGACCCATCTGGTGAATGCTGCAGTGGCATGTGTGCCCCAGCTGTTTCATGCTTGATCGAGAGTTCAGTGGCTGGCAATTGAGTTGGGTACAGAGAGAGAGAGAGAGAGAGAGAGAGAGAGAGAGAGAGAGAGAGAGAGAGAGAGACAGAGAGAGAAAGAGAGAGAGAGAGAGAGATGATAAATGCAGATCGAGCGATTAACCACGCACTTACCAAGGCAAAGGTGCTGGATGAGCATGGCCATGAGGATGATAATCAATATGTGGCCCAGTTTCTTTATGCAAAAAAGCAAGAGATGAAGGACCTGGCCACGAAGTGGGAGCTTCCCAAATGTGGCAAAGCCACATCCTGAATTTTGGTGTTTCGGTGTGTGCCGGGGCCAGCGAACTGGCTTGCTCATAATGGATGTGCCTAGGCTGTTTGCATGGGATTCATGTGCATAGTCTGCGGTGTGAAGATTACCCCAATGTTGTGATTCAGTGCAGCTGGTGAATGTCGTTACAAACACATGTTTGCTGATTTATCATCACCTATGTAGCATTGGGTTGCTGGTGTGGCAATCTTCAGCTGCAGGGCGCATGAGTGGGAAGCAAGCTTGCAACACGTCTGTTGCTGATCGAGCCATTCGTTTTCATTACCTCACAAGCATAGCGACTTGCGAGATTGGATCGTTCCAAACACCGCTGCCGTGAAAATGAATCCGATCGAGTTCTTTGTGCCATTGTGCTGAAAGAGAGTCCAACTTGCGAGAAGCACTTCTGCCAGCATACGTGTGTCATTTGAACGTGTTGTGGACTGTTGGCGCAGGTCTCCCCGGTGATCGTGCTGAAGTCGCTGGATGAGGCTTGTGGATTTTACCCTGCAGGCCGGGCCCATGCAACGATTTAAGTCGATTCGGGTGTGTCCTGGATCTGTAGTGCAAGTCACTCAATTCGTGATGCCATCAGAGTGCTGATTTCCTTTAGGAGAAGCAAGTTTCAGTAGCACCACGTGTATTCTTGTTCAGAATGATTTGCATAACTATGCAGGTCGATGCCTGTGCCGAAGTCCCTCAAGGGCCGAGTGCTGGAATCTTCGATCGGGCACGCAGAGCCCAACATTCGAGCAGCCGACATGGTTTGGGTTACCCATTAACTGGTCGTTTGTGGTGTGTCCTTTGTGTCGCAAGGTTAACATTTGGGGGCGGGGGGGGGTGTGGGGTAACATGGTTCAAGCTTCAGCATTTGCTTATGTGGATGTTTTTTTGATGTTGGGATCCGGTGTGGAATTCAGAAAACGTTCAATCAGGGTCTATGACACTTTACATACCCAGGCGCAAGAATATCTGCAAATATATGTATGTGCATGTGTGCTTTTAACAAAGAAGTTTTATGATTGTATATACGATGATGCATGCATGCATGTGTGGGTGTGGGTGTTTGCATATGTATCTACATAGGTATATGTGTGCAAGCATGTTCATATGTATGCTCAGTTATGCACATGTATGTAACATGCATGTACATGAATATACGTACACATGTGTATGTAGGTGTGTGCATATGCATGCATGCATGCATGTGT